TTAGTAAGTGGGTTATAACCCCAGTTATAAATGGGATAAGTAGGGTTAATCCACTTATAATTGGGGTTATAACTCACTTACTAAGTGGGATGAGCCACCAAGTATAACTACGTATCTACATCGGTACAAAGGACAAGTCATGGAGGGTTCCATTAAGTCATGGGGGTACCCCCGTGCATCATCCAGTCGTCATGGATGATTCAGGTCGCTGCGGAGTTCGGAAGGCGACCGCCAGCCATGGATTTCCCCATTTTTTTTTGGGGGGGGGTCCAAAAAAAAAAAACGATCTTAAAACCAACGGAAATTTTAAGGGATCTCAGGCTTTCTGTGAGTAGAACATAGTAGAACCGGTTGTTGGGCGCCAATCTGGGACATCCCATGGGACCTATCAAGAAACAATAATGAGAGCTAGGCTGACTTAGGAAGGCCTCCCCCAGATATAGGTTGTTTTAGAACCTCATTTGATTATAGAATTATTCACCATAAATCCAGCATTTAGGCAAATACCCTCTGGTAATTCAACATAGCTATTGAAAATAGTGATTTATAGATATTTATAGTGGATTTACCCATTGAAAATGGTGATTTTCCATAGTTATGTAAACGTTTACCAGAGGGTAAACCAACAGAAACCCATTCTTTGGTGGGCCCAGGTTTCAGTTTAGGACTTGGGTCGCAGGTGGGCGAACACCTAGAGCTGTGACACCAACCAGCTGGATCCTAAGGGGTAAGGGGGACACCACTGGACTTTAACCATCAAATGTTTGTGACTGGTTGGTGGTTTGGAACATGAATTTTATTTTTCCACATATTGGGAATGTCATCATCCCAACTGACTTTCACTCCATCATTTTTCAGAGGGATTGAAACCACCAACCAGTTGAGGTTCTGAAAAAAATCCCGAAAACCCAGTGAATTTTGGTGGGACGATTTCAATGATTTCTCCTTTTCTCTTCTAAGGTTCTCGCTCCAGCTTTGTTTGGGAAGAAGAGAACCGCGGGACAGCGGCAGTGGATGGGGTGTCGCAATCATTTGGGTGTCTCAAAAGATGAGGGATACCTCAACCACCAGCACCAGCTTGCATTCTTAAAAGAAATCTCCATGTTTTGCTGGGTAACATCACATTTTTGCAGGTTTGACATCCACATGATCCGCATTTTTGAAGGTTGATATCCTTATTGTCAGAGTTGCTCCAGCCAATCACAGGGAAATTAAAGCCGCTTTTAAGGGACACTTTGTAATTTTATCTCTTTGTTTCGGTATTTTACCTTTATGTTCACCCCATTATATATCCACAATATATCACAATATATACCATTATACCACCATGTTTGTTGCCTAAATCATGTAAGCATCCATTTGTTGTTGCCTAAATGCCATTTTCATTCAGATCCAATTCTTTGTTGCTTAAAATCTCAATTTTCCCAATTGTTCATGGTGAAATCTCAATCAGAATACCCAAATCCCATCATTTTCCCATCTTTGTGGGGATTTCACCATGAAAATACCCCAACTCCCATCATGTTCCCTGAAAACCATGGCCCAACTCGCACTTGGAGGACAGATTTCCAGTTCTCCGATGATGATGCGGTCGACAAGCCCTTGCTACCGCTGGCGCTGCCCGAAGGAGACGCATTGGCATTGGATGGGGTTGGGAATAGCTGGTCATTTTCGGGCATCAAAAGGAACAATTGATCTTGGAAAATTGGGAGCATAATGGAAAATGGATAACATCCCATAAAAATCCCATTAATCCCGTTAAAATCCCATTAAAATCCCATTAAAATCCCACTAAGATCCCATTATCATGGATAACATCCCATTAAAATCCCATTTCTTCGGATCTGTATATTTGGAACATGGGGATTTTAATGGGATATGATGAACCACATCATTTAATATCAAGCATGTGGACTGACCTCATCGGGATTTTTGATCTTTTATATCACAATTTGGGATTTAACCAGCAAACATGTTGCTATCATTGGATATAATGCGACAATGATGCGGATTCCATTTGGATATCATGGGGGATAATTTAACAAGATGCAGAAAAGCAACGTCCCGCTTGAATGTACATCAATGGTTAAATTCAAGCCGGATATGGTATACAATGTATATAGGATATTTCCCGACATATATATATATATATGTATATATATATACATTGTATACCATACATTGATGACATAGGATATTTCCCTTTATGCTTGGATGATGTACATCGTTTGGGTACCCAGCATCATTCTGGCATCTATTTCTATGGGCCATGGCTTCCAGTGCTATGTTAAATAACCAGAGGGTATATATATATATTATACATAATGTGATATATCATGGCAAACACAGTTTTCTTATTTGCTCAAGATGCATGCTTCAGCTTGAAGCCATGTTTTGTCTTTTTTGATGCCTCTTTTTGGGGTCAGAGCGATACTTGCTGGTTTAACTTCCAGTTACGTTGAGTTTGAATCCATGTTTGGTCAAACTGAATGTGCCATTGTCTTTGTAGCAGAGGATGTATCCTCCATTCTTAAATGTGGCTACATATCATTGGCAATAAGTCCGTTTCTGTTGTTTATATCATGCTGGTGATATCATCGTTTGCAATTTTGACATGTCGTGTGTATATATATATGATATATATATACACATACATATACAGTATATATATATACAGATGTAGATATGCAGAGATAATTAAGTAGATAGATGGGCAGAAAATTGGACGTATAATTACATGGACCAAAGATGATTTGATAAACCTCGATACATAAACCACCATTCATAGACGAAGAACTCGACACATGACGACTGTGGTCCCCCCCAGTCTTGGTAGCGTATGAGGCTGGCATGATGAAGGTGGTGTGGTTGTGCACAAGGGACCCTTGAGTTTCGTGGAGGCACGCGTTGCGTGCTGCTGGTGCAGGGGCGAAATGGGTGGAAACATACATTTGGGAGGTTTTTGTTTGATGATGATGATGATAATAATGATAATAATGATGATGATGATGATGATGATGATGATGTTGTGGGAACGGAGGGTAAGAATCTACTATACAGACATAGACAGACTGGGAAAGCAAAAGAACTGGATTTTTGAAGATTTTTCTTGGTACTCAGAAGAAGCGATGTTTTTATTGCGTCTCATGTGTCATGATGTTTCATTTTTGGGGGTGTATGCATAGGTAGTCAAAGCACTCCCACCTTTTGCAGTAGTCATCCGCCTAAGCAGAGATAGCGAAGCTACCATGGGATGATCATCATGCAACTCGAGATTCTCAGCTCTAACGTGTGCTAGGTCAACAGCAATTCATTTCTGCCACTGCGTTGGCATGAGTCCGGGTAGGTACCAAATGCCTTTTTTCAGGACTCCAACTCTCAAGGAATTGGTCGTGCAGAATTCCACTTGGCATAGGTATACTGCCCCCTTTGTATCCCCCAGTCATGGCAGTTTTCATAGGGAACATTATGTCATTATGTTCTAAATCATGGGTTTCCTTGGGTTTTTGTCCCATGTTTGGCTGCACCACAGCCCATCTCAGGATTGGTAGGACATTGGGCTGAAAGACTTGCCGTTCTTTTTTGAAACATGTCAACTAACATAGACCTCATCTTTTTTCTGGAGCTGGAAGATGATTTTCCTCTAAAACATGGTCAAGTCTTTGTATCTATACAGCAGCTATTATAGCATTTGTAGATGATCAAAATTGAAGTACTGGAAAATCCCATTGGAATATTGCTGACTAGTAATAGTACGATTGTCTATTTACTTGAAGTATTTTCCTTTAAACATGGTTAATGAATGGAGAGGATGGTACTTCAAAGAGTTCCACCGTTGGCCGAACCTCGCAGCCAGCTTTGAAGCAATGCCGCAATGCCACTTCTGTAAGGAAGCTTCTGATGAAGCTTTGTTGATGGGTCACACATTTCAATTTTTTCATGTTTTTATGTTTTATATCATGATTCGTTGAAGAACTTCCAACATTTCTGGTGCTTTATATCCGGCCACCATCAGCGCCATCGCCACGCCATGGCTCTTCCCGGCAGTTACGTTGGGGACCGCCGCGTAGTCCAGGCCCGGCTGCTGTGTGCGGAAGACAATCTGTGGAGGTCCGCATGATTTCCCAAGTTTTTTTTTGTTGAGAGAAGTTCCCCCTCCCCCCGAAAAAATGAAAAGAAGTTTCCCATGTTTTTGGAGAATCTGTTTTTTTGTGTCATGTGTCATATGTGTTTTGTTTTGAAAAACCGTTTAAATATTTTTTTTTTCCACCTTTTTAAAATGTTAAAATGTATCTACGAAGTTATAACATCCGCAGATGGGTGAATATCAACACAAATATTCTGGTTCAGGTTTGATCTCTTATATGACTATATATACATATCACAAACAGATTAAACCGATGCACAAAGATAAACTCCCCCCAAATAACGGCAACTTGCTTGCAGTAATATCTTCTACCAACAACTGTAGAAAGGTAATTGACCACTACATATAACTTAGAGTCGGAAATTACGAAATTATGGCTATTGGTAAATACAGTCTCCAAACATATTTACATGTGTACCAGCAATCTTTTTCACGGTTGCTCCAAGTCAAAAAAGGCAAATGATAGCCACACAGAGCTGAAACTGGATGATTTTACCCCCATCAACTGATATTGGCTGTAGATAGATCTACCATAAATCTGAACTGGGGCACCACATTGTAATTACTCATGATATCCTCATTATCTCCAATGATACAATTGTTTGCGTTGGTAAAATCACAATCTTTGATGGCTCATTTAGTCAACTCCATATTTTTTTTAAAATAACCCATTGATGTCCCATTTATACTTAGATGATTTTCCCATTTATAAATCATCTAATGATATAACTATAGGCATTAAGATAGGCATTTTCCCATTTATAATTACGTTGATGTCCCCAATGCCAAGTCTTGATGGTGAAATCCCCAGTGGATGAACGAATTGACCTCCCTGGCCCTGGAACACTGGAACCCAGGGCGGGAGTCTGACCATGCCAGCCGTCGCGTCGTCTCCTCAACCAGTGCGTTCGGCCACGGAGCCCAAGTCTTGTGGCGTACAGGGGGATTTCACCCTGAAAACCTGACCCCCGTGGGATTTGACCATGAAAAATAGAGGTTTCAACACCAATTTTTTGGGAGATGTAAGTCTGAGAGACGGAGATTTGCCCATGAGAAATGTGGAAGCATCAAACATGTGGATTGAAGCAGCAAAAACGAGGATTCGATCTTGTACTTTGTGATCTAACACGGTTCGCTGGAAAATCACCAGATGTTTGAGTGGGAGGGGATCAAGATAGTGGCAGGAAATTCCATGGTGCGATCCACAGCAGAGCTGGATGAACATTTCAGACATGTTGCAATTCGCAGATGTTTGTGTCATTCTCACCATGGGAAACCGAGCAGTTCATGCCTATAAATATATATATATATTTCTTTCAAAAGTCATTCTTACTAGGGATTTAATGTGGAAACCCACTTAATATCCTAGGAAAATAAATGGAAACCAACAAATGTATGGCAATAATTCGGGACATTTAATAGAATATATGGGGATATCATGACAATTATGGGATATATACGACGCAACATACTATGATATTTGGGATTGTCTGCAGTTGGGGGATTGACCCACAAAATAACACGTTTTACTAGGGCAGATGGTTAACCATCGGTGTTGTCTTCGTCCCTTTTTCAGCGCCGAGTTCTGGAAGAACTACCCATCTGTAACAGCGACCAACATTGCCCTGGCATTCCGAACTTTCAAACAAGAACAATAACAACAAATCTAGACTATCTTATATCTTTGGAGTATACTCAGATATTCTCAGTATACCCAGGTAATCTCAGTATACAATTTTGGAATACAACAAATCTGGATCCATACTGTGGATGGTTGCGAAATCCTGCACCACCAAAAGGATGGTTAAAACCTTATGAATGATGGGATAAACCATCTATCCACTGGTGCAGGATTTCTTCCATCCACAGTATCTTTTATCTTTAGGGTATACTGAAGATGAAGCGAAAGGAAAGCTGTCAATCTTAGGTTTGCGGTTGAACATGGGTTCAGAAATAGCGAGGGTGACTTTCAGACGAACATGCATCATCATCATCATCATCATAATAATGATAATAATAATAATCATCATCATCATGTCCTTTTGCTTTTTGGGTCAGCTGGATTTGGTTTGCGAATAATTTATTTCACAACCCACCGCCAAACTACCCTTCACAAACGTAAACTTCAAGCTTAGATTATAGCTACTTGGCATATCTCCCAACATATCTCATGATTGTTTTTTTTTTTTTTAATAGGACATCTTGGCTCTATTTGCTCTCTCTCTCTCTATATCAGTCTTTAAATCATTATCTGTCTATACCTATAGCTAGGGCTCAATCTATCAATCTATCAATCTAGATATCTAGATATCTACATGTCTATATATCTCTATATCTCTATATTTCCCTGTATATATATCTAGACCTATATCTATGTCTCTCTATCTCTATCTCTATGTCTGCCTCTGTCCCCTTTCTCTATCTCTATCTCTCTATCTCTCTCTATCTCTCTCTATCTCTCTCTATATCTCTCTCTATATCTCTCTCTCTCTATCTATCTAGCTATCTAGCTATCTTGCTATCTAGCTATCTAGCTATCTATCTATCTATCTATCTATTTATCTATCTATCTATCTATCTATCTATTTTTTTTTATCTAATGTATATACTTATATACATATATGTAATTCCAATAATTATTATATACATATACATATACATATCACTTTCACTGGCGGCTCTCTGAAGACGTATATACACACATATCACATCTACATAAGTTCCACCATGGTTCCAGGGAGTCCTTGGAGGGGCATACCTCTCCTCCCCTACGAGCGCACCGGGCCTTGCAAAGCCGACCCTGGAGTCATCAACCAGGCGCGAAAGCTGATGGAGTTATCATTAATGATGGGTAATAAAAAGTTAATCATTTACCAGTACTAACCATTATTAACGATTAGCTAGTACCAACCATTATTAACTAACCATTAGTTTTTGATTGATGATGAATGATTATTGATTCCTCATAATGAGGGCATAAATGGCATTATGAATTACGAAAAACTGAAAAACTTCTATGATTGATGTTTAAGCCAGTTTAGTCCCCATTGAATGGCCCATCAACCATCATTTATCATTTCTGTCCCTTTTTTTGATGGTTAAATCGTGTTAAATCCACTATTCGATTGATGGTTAAAACCCACTTAACGTAACCAATTAACAGTTGGGTAAGCATCATTTTACATCCAATTAACAGTTGGGGAACCAATTAACAGTTGGGTAACCCACTTAACGTATCCACATAAACATCCCCATGTTCGAAAATGGTTACCCTCCGGTTTCATCAAACATGGCCTTCTAAGCGTTCGATAAATTTCCCGACCTCGAACCTCCACTAAAATGGGGATTTTCCATTGCAAATTTGATGAAACCGAGGGTAATAAGGGATATACCAACAATACCCTCTGGTAATTTAACATAGCGGTTGAAAATGGCCATTTAGTTGGTGGAATTACCCATTGAAAATGGTGGATCTTTCCATAATTATGTTAGTTTACCAGGCCGGGTACCTGTTGCTTTGGACAATGATGCATTTGAACAATGGAACACAAACGAGAGGATAAACCCATGAAACATGGGCATATGATTGGGATATCATAGGGATATTGAACTCAGTTTATGGCTATTAAACTATTGTGTTCTTATGAGGCAGCGGTTCGGAGCTGCAGGTGCTTTTTTTTTTTTAAACTTCCCATTCAAATGATGGTACTATGTTGGGTTAGTAATGGTATAATGTTAATGGTTGATCATGGTATGGTTAGTAATGGTTAGTAATGGTTAGTAATGATACTATAATTGGGTTAGTCCTAGAGTAATGTTTAATGACAAAGACGATGAATAAAGAAAAACACACCAAGCAAATGATCAAGAAACGCACAGATTTTATAAATGAGCGACATAAGGAACTAGAAGATAATCAAAACATACAAAATACATGGGATATACAGAACTATAAAGGGTATATTCATCGACCTGTGGGAACATATGTATAATATATATAGGATCCAATGGGATATATAATGGAATATTTATAAGCAACAACAGACAGTGCGGGATATAGATGAATGTAATTGGATATACATTAATGGGATATAATGAGGGCAGCCAGATGAGCAGCTGCGTTCAAACTCTGTTCGATTACTTACTTGCTTGCTTACTTGGGATTTAACCATCAAATAACGGATATAATGCGATACCGGACCATACCATGATCAACCATTAACATTATACCATGACTAATCCAATTATAGTACCATTACTAACCACTACTAACCATTACTAACCATCACAATGCGGATATTTGCACTGCAATGGACTCACTGGTTTTACAGAACGTATGGTAATTGGATTGAACTCATTCCCAAAAGGCCTTGTCCCACTGGTTGGTCCAGCATTACCTGGCAGGATTCTGGAACTGGGACATGTTAGCATTTTAAGATGAATAGTGATGAATAGTTATTCAGTACAACTGAATGGTTAAGCATTATTTTCTTATTTAGTTGACGTATCCCAAATTTAAGTTTTTTTTTTGATGAGAAATGGTACTAAATGATTGAATCTGAACTTCTGCGGCTGAACATGGACCCCGCAGTGGGAGGATCCCGTGAAAAAATAACATGTGGTTTGTATCGTCTGGCTTACGACATAAAGAAAAATTGGACATTTAATGCACATATTTTGGTGACATCAGGGTTTGTCTGAAAATAGTGTAGCCCTACACCCAATGGTGAATGATCATTATCCCTACAATTATGGCTATTTTTTTGGGGGTATACCTCATTTTCAGACATACCCGAATCAGTTTAAGAATATCCATCCCACTTAGTAAGTGGGTTATAACCCCAGTTCTAAATGGGATTTTTGTAGGGTTAATCCACTTTTTTGATTGGGGTTATAATATCACAGGAACGCTGTGCCAAACGTCATTTTTTCAACGGGTCACCTGTTGGGATCACGATGGATTTTTACGACTGGGACGACGTGCGGCGGTGATGTTTTCGTCCTCCGTTTCCATGGGCCAAATTGTTGGCCCATCTTTTTCTGGTTGGTGGTTTCAAACATTTTTTATTTTCCAGAATATATGGGATAATCCTTCCCATTGACTAATATGTTTCAAGATGGTTAAAACCACCAACCAGTTTTGTTTGTGAATGTTAAGGAAAGTCGGTAAATTGCTGGAACGAATCATGGATTATCCGATAATCATGGTGAGTTTTCGAAAATCAAACAGGTTCACGTTTGGCTATCCCACTTTCTGGTGAAAGCCTCCACATATTTTACCGTGTTCACCGATGACTTGAAGTTCCCGTGCACAAATCCGGGTGAATCCTGAGTCCCTTCCGCCCAAAGTCCATTGGCTGTAGAATTTGTAGCATTTTTCTGACAGACGCATATCATATCATTGCTTTAGTTACTTTGATATTCCATATAAGAAAAATAAGCCTATACTATATAACTAAAGAATAGTCACTGGTTGGTGGTGACTGGAACCATGGAATTTGGATTGACTTTCCATTCAGTTGGGAATGTCATCATCCCAACTGACTCATATTTTTCAGAGGGGTAGGCTCAATCACCAACCAGGTCCCCAAGCCTTTCCCTTTCCTATGACTGGATGAACCCGCCAGCCTCCCAGGTACATGGCGTCTCCGCCCCGCTTCATGAACCCGGCCCCCAAGCCCGTCACGCCGCCGGTGCTGCCGCCGGTGACGCTGCCGACGCTGCCGGCGCCGGTGCCGGCACCTATGAACCCATTGCTGCTTGGTGCTGGGGGCAGGGGATAAAACCCAAGAATGTTATGGTGATATGAATGATACCATGACCATAACATATTTGTAGTACCATTGTATGGGAATGGATATCATAATGGGAATGGATGTGGTATACTATATAGTGGTATTTTTCTTGGTTTTATGGAAAAGAATGGGGCAGGGAATACATCTGTATAGTATAATGGCAATATAGGAATATTATTATGGGAACGGATATAGAATATTATAGAAACATAATTAGATATATATAGTTAGAATATATACTGGGGACATAGTTTGGGATATGATCCAGCCATGGTTTCTTGGGGACTATCAATATTAGAGGGATGGGATATAATTACAATGGCTTTGTTTGAATATTTTGGACTTGCTGAAGTAAATCAACCATGGCTGACATCGTGTTTTTCGTACCAAACCAAGAATCCATTTGCAACAAGGATGGAGAAACAATTACACAACTAGTGATTTGAGTGATTTGATTCTCAGAACATTGATTTGTCTGGAAATAGAGTACCCCCATCCTCGGTGTTCCCTGTCAAAATGGCAATCATAAAATCGATACCCTCTGGTAATTTAACATAGCTATTGAAAATGACCATATACAGTGGATTTTCCCATTAAAAATGGTGATTTTCCATAGCAACATGTTAAATTACCTCAGGGTATAGCCCATGGGCACGGAGAAACCGGGGCTCAAGAGCCACGAGCCACCGCTTTTAAAAACCGCAGAGCTGCCACATGCAGAATCTTTCTCCAGTTTCTCCAGGTGTCTTCCAACAGAATTTTTTAGAAACAAACGAAAACCTGCAGAATCATCTGCAGGGGATGGTTTACCACTTACCACCAAATTATTGGATTATGGGAAACCAAATGGCATACCATGGGCATACAGTTTCTACCAACAAGTTGTGTATTTCCAAAATTTCTGGTAAATTGATGGTAAATACCAACCAACAAGTTTGTGGTTTTATACCAACCATTTCTGTGGCTTGGATTTTCTCTTCATCACAGCCTCTCCGCGTTCTGCCGCTGAGGGTGTTAGTGGCTAGTCTCTTGGACTTGACATGGGGGACAGGTTATTTAATGGTCGGACTCATGGTGATTTTATTCATCAGAATATGAAAAAAACTGTAAATGGAGATTTATAGCTGAGAACATGAACTACGAATGGTGATTTTTCTAGCAAACCATGTTTGATGACACCCGAGGGTACAATTGACTTAAATGATGGTTACCCAACTGTTGGTTGGTTGTGTTGATGAGATTTTAAACATCAGATGTGGGTTTAAGCATTCAACATAGGGATAGTGACACATGATGGTTGTGAGGATGCAATGGATAGTATATTTAGGGCTATTTCTCATGGCTCAAATGGCCTTGTTTAACGGAACATCGGGTATGGTCAACCAACCCAAACAGTGATTTGAATGGGTTTAATCAATGGAAATGCTGATAAGAATTTTTCATGGCAGTGTTTGAACATAGGCTACCCCCAAATCTTATGGTTGATGAAATTTTCTCTGAAATTGCCATAGTTTGCGGGTCCACAAAGGAACACATCATTTTCCCCTTGAGTATTCCAAGAGTTAGCTTGGTTATACCCTCTGGTAAACGTTTACATAACTATGGAAATTCACCATGTTTAATGGGAAAACTCACTATAAATGGCCATGTTCAATAGCAAACTGTTGACATAACCAGAGGGTAATCCCCTTGGAATGTCCAGTGACCTGGATCGCATGCTGGTTTGGTTTCCCTGTGACCTGCGGCATGGTGGTTTGGAACATTTTGGGGTCTGAAAGTGCAGAAGTCTATGAGTCTATGACAATCATGGACCATACCCCCAAGGTTGCTTATATTCATTTCTTGGCGCAGATCCTACATTTCCAGAGGGTTACCCTCTGGTCTGGTTATGTCAACATACTTATTGAACATGGCCATTCAGTTCGTTGATTTACCCATGAAAAATCGTGATGTTAAATAGTTTTTTGTATGTTTACCAGAGGGTATATCACCATTAATCACCCTTGATCATAAAAATCACTATTATATATATATATATAACTGTTTAACCTATTAATATCACCAATATTATCAGTATTACCAAATATTGAGCAAATCACCATAATTATGGTTAATAATGGTTGTGTCACTATCACTATTACCATCTGGTTATTTAACATAGCCATGGACAATCCCCATTTTTAATAGGTAAACCATCTATAAATGGGCCATTCTCCATGGCTATGTTAGTCATTACCAGAGGGTAATCACTCTTGATCATCTCATGGGAACTCTACATACGTCGCCAGAAGTCTCGAGGCTTCCACAGCACCACCAGCAGCAGGGCTCCGGGAGGTGACCGGCGGGGGAAAATCACCAGGAACTCAAGGCAATTGTCAATAGCGAAGTGTAAACGTTTATAACTGGCCGGGTATACCACGTAAAACTCCGTAAAACTCGTCATGATATATGATATATATCATGATTCATATTCTTTCGGATAGTAAATATAGATGATAATGATGATGGTACTAATAACAATGATAATAATATTGATGATGATGATGATGATGATGATGATGATGATGATGATGATTGTTTTTATCGTTATTATTATTATTATTCACAATGGCAATCATGAGAGGGATTTCCAAGCAACACGATGATCAATCTGGGGTTTGTCTGAAACTGGCAGGTATCTTGGGGGATTCCACCAGCCACCAGTGCCATGTGGAACACCAGTCGAACAAAGAGTGGCCATCACCACCAGAATATGTCTCCTGATGTTTCTTAAGTGTCTAACCCCCCAGTATCTATATGGGGGTTTCTTACAATGGGGGTACCCCAATGCTACGGAAAATTCCAATCTACAATGGCTGATTTGGGGGTATCGCCATTTCAAGAAACCTCCATATAATACCAAAGACGGATAAACATAGATAAACATAGATAAACATAGATAAACATGATAAACATAGATAGACATAGATAAACATAGATAAACATAGACCAACACAAACACACATAGATAAACATCCCGCCGGACCGGAAACCGTTCCCATAAAACGCATGTTTTTTTAAAAAATGGTGATTTTACCAAAGTGCCGTGCTGATTTGATGATTGGAAATCCTGGAAAAACTTGGGGCGCGTTTTTTGGCTTTTCAGCGTCATCGCTGCAACGCAGTAAACGATCCCAGAGATCTCAGCAGCGTAGCAACATGTCACGTAGTAAACGATCCCAGAGATCTTAGCAGCATGGCAATATATCATGTACGAAGTACAAGGAACGTTAACATGCCCCCCCCACCCCACCCCACCCCACCCACCCACACTAGAGACCTCAGCAGCGTAGCAACATGTCACGTAGTAAACGATCCCAGAGATCTTAGCAGCATGGCAATATATCATGTACGAAGTACAAGGAACGTTAACATGCCCCCCCCACCCCACCCCACCCCACCCCACAATCGCGATATTCAAAAACGTGCGTTTTACGGGAACGGTTTTCGGTCCGCAGGCATAAACATGGATAAACATAGAGAAACATGGATAAACATGGATAAACATGGATAAACATAGATAAACATAGATAAACATAGACAAACATGGATAAGCATGGCTAAACAGATAAACATAGATAAACATAGATAAACATAGATTAACATAGATAAACATAGATAAACATAGACAAACATGGATAAACATAGATAAACATAGATAAACATAGACAAACATGGATAAACATAGATAAACATAGATAAACATAGACAAACATGGATAAACATAGATAAACATAGATAAACACATAGACAAACATAGACAAACATGGATAAACATAGATAAACATAGATGAACATAGACAAACATAGACAAACATGGATAAACATAGATAAACATAGATAAACATAGACAAACATAGACAAACATAGATAAACATAGATGAACATAGATAAACATAGACCAACACAAACACACATAGATAAACATGGATAAACATCGATAAACATAGATAAACATGGATAAACATAGATAAACATAGATAAACATAGATAAACATAGATAAACATAGACCAACACAAACAAACATAGATAAACATGGATAAACATAGATAAACATAGACAAACATGGATAAACATCGATAAACATAGATAAACATGGATAAACATAGATAAACATAGACACACATGGATAAACATCGATAAACATAGACAAACATGGATAAACATCGATAAACATAGATAAACATGGATAAACATAGATAAACATAGACAAACATGGATAAACATCGATAAACATAGATAAACATGGATAAACATAGATAAACATAGACACACATGGATAAACATCGATAAACATAGACAAACATGGATAAACATCGATAAACATAGACAAACATGGATAAACATCGATAAACATAGATAAACATGGATAAACATAGATAAACATAGACAAACATGGATAAACATCGATAAACATAGATAAACATGGATAAACATAGATAAACATAGACACACATGGATAAACATCGATAAACATAGACAAACATGGATAAACATCGATAGACATAGACAACATAGACAAACATGGATTGGCATTATAGGGCCCATCCACATTCATGGATCCAAGGCCCTAAAGCATGGTTTCTTAAGGCCGCCAAAGCATCCTCCAGGTGTGACCTACACGGGCACCCCGAGCTATGTGAGCTCGCCGAGCTATGTGATGCAGCCCCAAAACGCTCGCGCTCTGTCTCAAACAACGGTGGGGAAACCCAGTAGTCCGAAAACCCCAGGTCCAACTGGAGATCGTTGGAGATCTTTGAACTGGAAACCCCCCTGGTAAATTAACAGTTCGACCCTGAAAATAGCCTAGTTTTATAGTGGAAACGAATCTTCCAACCCCGACAACTGCCAGGGTCGAACTGTTAATTTACCAGAGGGTAACTTATCTTAGCTAAATGATATAAGTATTATGACCACCATAAAGCATAACATGATATAACCACTATAGATATAGCAAACATGGCTGAGCAATTGGAAGAGCAATCGCAACAGCAGCCAAAATGATCTTCTTGGGTTACCCTCTGGTCATTTAACATAGCTATGGTATAGATGGCCATTGGAAGTTCGTTGATTTACCATACAATGTGGGGCTCCAGTTCGTTAGCTAAGTTAGTTTATAAATTCAATAAGTTGGGTTTATGGTGGTTATATCATGTTATATCTATAGTACTATGGTTTATATACCAACTTACAACTGGGGGGGCGCCATCGGCCGTAGGTTTACTAAGTCATGATCAAAATCGTTATCCGTATACCCATTGATTTCCTATCATTTGCTGTATAATTATACCGACTGTATCCCCATTTAACCACTGGTATATCATATGGATGAATATACTTGAGTAACTACTGGTATTATACTGTATCCCCATTTAACAAGTGGTATTATATATATATATATATTATATATATATTATATCCTCTGGTTATTTAACATAGCCATGGAAGCCATGGCCCATAGGAATAGATGGTGTTTACCTGGTACCTATTAATAGCATGGTGATTTTCCATGGATATGTAACAAATAACCATATGGTATACATTCTATAAATGGGATTTTGTCAGTACTAAAAAAACATCTCATTTAACATCTTATAAATAGTTGATTTCCCTATATTCCCTAGTAAAAATGGATATTTCCCATAACCATATGGTATATTTCCCTAGTAAAAATGGATATTTCCCCTCTATTCCCTTAATAATCATAGCCATTTTATCCGCTTTCAGGTGATGAGCAACATCTCCGGCACTTTGTCACCCAAGGTGATGTCAGGGCACCCAAGGTGTGTCTCCGTGACTGTCATCCCAATCAATCACCGGTTTTGTAAACCAAGGTTTGCAGTAGTTACATCATGTTACATAGTTATATGATATATATATATATGAAATATATGAAATCCATTTATATATGATTTTAATTGATGTATATGATGTGGTATACTTAATCTAAGCCACAAAAAATGGGGCCCTACTCACCAGAGTTACGAAGCAGTTACACAATTTTGGCGACGTGACGAGCATTTTGAGTTCTTCGGTGCTGTGGCTGTGGCCTCCCGTCCCTGGAGATGTCACGTTTAGATGGTAAACACAATAGTTATGAGTTAGTTTCGATGAATTTCCATACCTAGCGCATCAAGAACCCACACATTTGTAGGTCTTTTTTTCCAAAACCCCGGTTTTTTCTTCAGTTAGTTATGAAAAACAATGTTTTTTTCTCAGGAAATATGTTTTTTTTCTTAATTACGGAAAAAACCTACTTCTTCTCACACTTGGTGTCATGACATCTCATGATTCGTTCCCTTAGACGATTCAAACCCCTTTATTGATACTAGCCTTGGATCTATCCCTCGCAGTACCCTTCATGTTTATTATGCTTCCACCCCGCTGGCTTTGGCTGGCAGTTCTCACAAGAAAGGGCCCGATGCTTTTGGAACATGTCGGACAACATTAAGTGTGATCACAGTCAATCTGGAGTCGTTGGATGTTTTTTTCCCAAGAACCAGCCCTAGAAGCATAAATTGAAACATGGCTGAATATTTTTCATTGGGGAAAAAATTGTTCTGGATTGCCAAAATCCAACAAACAGTCAAACAAAAGGATCGAACAAATGAACAAAAACATCAAAAATCAATCGACATTTTCAATTTTTAGTCATGTCGGATGACAGTTTTAGGGTCTGTACCCCAAAAATGCCAAAAACCCATACTTTGGCCGTATTAAGCCGTACTAAACCCATATTTATCCCGTACTAAACTAAACCCATATTTTGCTATAATAGACAAATCCCGGTTTTTGGGAACCCATATTTAAACCATATGAAACCCATATTTAACCCATACTATCCCGTACTCAAAATATGTTTTTTTTTGCCTCTGGGAATTGACGGCGCGACGTCGAGTTTTAAGGCTCCGCTTGTGGTTTTGCAGGATCGAACCGGCAATTGCCCGATCCAGACAAAAAGAAAACAACGCAGATTACCGGAACTATTGTCAATTTACTGGGTTCATCTCTGAAAAGCTGACTTTTGAAATGCCATGCATATCCATAGTGACTTTTTGACTACGAGTACCCTCAGTCCCGCTGAAGGGAAAGTTCACAGCATAGGAGGTAATCGTGTCTGATAACGCTTGCTTCGGTTTCGATCGCGCGTTCTGTCTGACAGATTTCACAAGTTGTCAGTATGTAACTGCTGCATGTAATGAGGAGAAATTTGATAAAGGTCCACCCGATTCGGACAAATTTGTGCAAATCCAGCAAAAACCAAAATAGTTTTTTTTTTTTTTACAAAAACCCGTTTTTTCCCGAAAAAACTATTTTTTTTTCACTGGGCCTACAACTTATTGGGTCTTTGAAGCTCCTGGTATATATATATATATTTACACATACATAATATCAAAATTACATATAGAAGAAAACACGACATGGCCATCCAGCTATTTCCAGTCGTCGTTCATTTAGATGGTCAAGAACAGCCCTGGTCCGAGGGTCGGGGGGCACCCCGTGATGAACGGCAGCCGCCATTGGTTCATTGCCTCTTGACTGAGAGTCAGGGAGATTTGACGAACAAAACTGGGGATCCACCTTATGGCTACCCTCTGGTTATGTCAAAATAGCTATTGAAAATGACCATTTATAGTGGTTTTTCCCATTAAACATGGTGATTTTCCATAGTTATGTTAGTTTACCAGAGGGTAATTATATCTAATTACTAAACATAGCTATGGAACATCACCATTCTTGAGAGGTAAATATGAGAAATCATCCACCAGGAGCCATAAATGGTCCATTGACCACAGCTATGTCTGTTAAATAGTCAGAGGGTAATGGGAAAATCATCCATACATGGGATATCAATAGGATATTCAGTGATAGATCTAACTGATTTAACCATCAAACATGGATATTTTTCCAACAAAAATATGATCATTATAGGGATATCATCGGATACACATCTAAGAATTTATTCGGGTGTGTCTGAAATTGGGGGATTTACCCGCGTGATTCACTTGGCGGATTTTGGGGTACCCAATTTCCACCCTCTGGTCACGGGTAATTGCTCATGTTTTTTCATGGGGAAACCAGTCAGTGGAATTACCCGGCCTGGTAAACTGTTACATAACTATGGAAAATCACCATTTTCAATGGATAAATCCACTATTTCGACTCGGTCATTTTCAGTAGCTATTTTGACATAACCAGAGGGTAAACCTAATTTAACATGTCAACTAAATATCCATTTGAGGACGGGTCCAAAGTGTAACAACCATTGGTTTCCACAAATGTTGCCGGGTCGAGAGGATACCATTAAGCTGACTGAAGTTGAAGTGGGGATCAAAATTTAAGGACCATGGGGTTACTTTAATTGGTTTTAATTGCTGTCACTTTTTTCATTTATTTTGGCAAACACACATTTTTATACATTTTTGACGAATTTCCAAAGATTGGGATGAGAATTTAGCAGCAAAGCTGTGTCCGAAGATGGCATGTCTATCTCTCTATTCATAGACTAGGGGGGTTTCCAGTTCGTCATGGTACCCCAGGCTGGTGACATGGGGATCCAGCATTTTATCCCAGGTGGTTGCCGCAGTTCGTTAGCATTCGTGGGTTTATAGCTGCCTAGGTGAACAGATGGTTTTCTGTATTAATAGGGTTCATAAATCAACAAACACAACTAGGGAGGCCCTTCATATATCCCATTACATCCGATCATATCCTTCTCTATATCCCCACTGTATCCAGTATCCACAAAAGGTGGCTCATCCCTGGTTTTGTGAGTGGGATAAATAGTTTTTTTTTTTTTGCACATCAACAAGTAGGGCTAGTTCTAACCTACAAACTTCCACGATCCGTGGGTGGTTCGCCACCAAGTAGTGAAAAAATCCCCACTTTCTCCATCAAAAACCATTTAAGTCAGATAAAATCAGATTATCCTCTGGTAAATTAACATAGCTATGGAAAATCACCATTTTTAATGGGTAAATCCACTATTTCTATGGCCATTTTCAATAGCAAACAGTTGACATAACCAGAGGGTAAAATCATTTCATCCCAATTTTTGGTCGTGAAGTAAACCCACCCTTTGGCTCAGGAGATGATGGAAAGGATTTGGCCTTCAACATCAAGGTGAGTTTGGACAAAACTGGGGCGATTTCGAAAAATTGGGGATGATATAACTGATGGATCCCTAATCATGTGGGAACATCATATAATAGCAACTAATATGATTCAATCTGATTCAACTGGGGATTTCAACATTTTCAACAGATTTTCGATTGGGAAATGATGGATTTTTCACATGATTTCACTGATTTTTCACCAGCTTTGACCTGATTTTTCGTGGGATACTTTTTGGGGACATCATGGAGATTTCACTGGGTTTTTTTTCACTGCTAAGGAAAGGAAAGGTTGAATCATCAAAAAGGGAACATGCAAAGAACATAGGGTACATAATTAATTTATAGCTAGTGGAAAAGCAAGAATCCCATACCCGGATTAGATCAGTTATACCCGGATGGCCTAAGAATCCCACCGCAAATGCATAGATTCGATACATTCCAGCAGGATTTCGTTTAGGTGATATGGTCAGAGGATGTCAGAGGTGCGGAATAGTAGTTTAACATAGCTTTACCAGCAACCCGAGGAAAACTTGATCATCAAAAGTTGGCTATCAACTATCAGAAATCGGGATTACAACTATCAGGCATGGAGTTCAGCCCATGACATAAGATTATTTTTTTCTTGACCATTAATCATGGGCATATCATCAACAAAGATGGCAGCGCAATGCGGGTCTGGGTGCTGAACACCTTTTTTCATCAAAAACAGCAATGCCCAGGTGATCCATGATTTGTAGTTGGCTTGTACCAACAGGTTTTATATAATGTTTTAATCAGGATTGTCACAGTCCACCAGGATGAAGAACATGGAAATTCACCTCTGTTGACCTTGCCGAGCAGGTACCTTTGCAAGCAATTGCTCAGCAACTTCGATGAGGGCGACACAAGCCAAGCTAAGCTGGAGAAGATGGTCAAGGAGCGATCGATCGAAAGCGAAAAAAATCATCAGATGGACACGGCAATCGATTTTTTTTGGGTGAATTTTTTGGGTCACCAAGAAATGGAGGATTCTCTTTCCTGTTTTGGATGTCATGATGTCACATCCGAAACCAGGCCCTAAAGAGTGCCAGGACATGTCGCAGAGGCCCCCGCCATTGCCCATCAAAGCGGATTTCATCAACTTCATGCTGCAGCAAGTTTGGGAGGTTCTGCTGGGGTGCTGACCGACCTGGTGCTGGTTGACCAACCCAACCGGGGGTACATTGAACAAAACATGGGAGACATTATATGGCACTAATATAATTCCCATTATATGACATTATATGACACTAATATTTATATTGGTATATTGCGGTATATTGGTATATTTCCATCCTATGACACTCATATAATTCCCCATTCCAAGATGGAAAGGCCGTGAGGTCGGAACATCTGGAACATCACCTTTCTCATGGCTCCATGAGCGACGCTGTTTTTTCGAGGTTCCAACAAGTTAAGTTATCCCAGAGGCCATCTTTGCTTAGCTTCATTGTACTTCCGTTTCTATTTCTCATATCCAAATCTTGGTGGATGATGTGGATGTAGCCCTGGGATTTTGAACACCTTCCTTCAGAAGGCTTTTTGGATGATTCCAATGGACTACGTCGCGATGTTTCAATATGGGTCACACATGACCGTCGGGGGATCAGTGTCGAAGTATAGGGTATGGCTCAAAAAATGGATATCAATTGACAATTCGAATTGTTAAGTTGCCATCCAAATCTGGGGCTCGAAATCAGATTTTGAAGCCCAAAATCCAAAGGCTTAGATAGGCTTAGATAGGCTTAGAGCCTCATTTTGCCGCTTGAATTGCTGTTCATTTGGGAAATTGGCCACATTCCAGCACGCAAGGTTGTGCAACCGAGCGTGTCGAAAGCTGTCAAGGAGTGGGCGGTGGGATCTTTTCCGAGTAGCTTTGGAGGGAACATCTGCCGGAACCCCCAAAACTTGTGGTTTTCTGGATCAGATTTTCCCGGACACGAATCTGAAAGTTTCTCAACCAGGATTTCACATATTTCACAAAGATCTGAATCTACTTGTGGTTTTCAAGCAACAAGCCTTTTGTTGCGAACCATGGTGCTGGAAATATTTACCTACATTTACCCCCCAAAATCAACCAGTTTTGTAGGTCAATATTCCACAGATGGAGCATCAATCCATAGGGATGACCGACCGCTGACAGAAAATTTAGAGAGATAACTGAAAAGGGGCACAAATTTGGCATATGACTATTACTCTATTTTGGGTAGCAAAATCGTTTTTTTTTGGAATATGACTCTATTTTGGGTAGCTTTTATTCTCTGACCCACAGCCACAAACTCTGATCTTCATTGAAATTACTCAAGAATGGCTAGTTGACGTGCAAAAATGGCTAGCAAGTCCGACGTGGAGATACAACAAACAACAGCAAGGGTGAAAAAATGTCTGGATGCCGCCCACACTTGACACAACCCTCCTAGACTTGCATCGATGGAACATCTACACAGTTTACTCCAGACTTGTAGTGGCAAGAAGCAGGGGTTCCAGACATTTCCCAACCAAAATCAATTCAATGAGACTTGGCCAAGATTTTCCTGTCATTTCCCACGTAACTTTCCCATGTGTTAACCACAACGCGTTCCGTTGTGGTTCCACAACGCCGGCCTTGGGTCCCTGACGGTTCCTGGGTTCCTCGAGGAGATGCTGAAGCCCAAGCTGCACTCGGCCCTCAGCATGGTGGCGCCTGTGGACATCAACCCCTGTCTGTTGGGGGATACGGCGCCGCAGATGGACGAGGCGCGTCTGTGGAAATCACCGGGAAAGTGGCCTGATTTTAGCCTATGGAAGTGTTTAAAAAAACCAGCATGAGAATGCGGAAGCGCAAGAAGATGATGGATATTTGTATATATATATATACATATTTGTGAATATTTGGGTGTGTCTGGAAATTGAATGAATAGCTTTGAAAGAACAATTATTCTCAAATTTATGATCATTTTGGGAAAAACAATAGTAAGCCAGTTGATTCTGAATACCCCATTGATTTAGACAAACCTATCTGGCTGAAAGTTGCGATGATGATGATGATGATGATGATGATGATGATGGTGTACCATGATCATTTCCCTTTTCGGCGAATCGAAAAGATGGGAGAGCCAGGACCCAAAAGAAAAAGCATAGATGGCAGAGAAATACCCATTTGAAATGGATGAACACATGGGACTTTACCCCAAGCCAGGGTTTTAGCAGAAGGTACTCAAGGATGTGGCTGATCGAAGTTGGTATGGGCTCATAAAAAACTCCCTTGCTCGTTTTTTCCATGCATATTTGGAGGTTCTGCAGTTCATGAACACACTATGGAAGCGAAGCATCAGTTCCCGTTCGGGACTGATAAATGGTGGATCTAAAAATCTCAAACTGGTAGATTTTCAAAAAAAATCATCGATTTTCATCGATTTTCCATATGTGAATGGGATTTTCCATAGGATTTTCCAGAGGTTTTCCATAGATTGGCAGCCATAAGGATAGATCTTTCCGTTCCTGGTGGATTTTCACCTGGGGATGTTTTTGTTGGAATCTCCTGCTGAGATCGAGTTGCTGGAAGATCAAGGATTGGGCAATTTGATGGATCCTTGGTTGCGCTGGTTGCGGATCAAGAATGATGGAGGACATTTCTATGAGAACATGATGTTTTATGGATGCTTTTTGATTCCAAAATTGATACTTTATGGTTTTCCATTGCGGCTGCGATCAGTGACTGCAGCGCAGTCAGCAATCTGCAGTCACGGATTACCGCTGCACTGTGGTTTTCTATGGCATTTTTGAGGATATTTTTTGGAGCTGGTTGGTACTTGTATGGGCCTTCAGGACAAAGGATTTCCCAAGCAATTGTTTTTAAATATATGACAAATATGTTCCAATTTCATGCCCACCTCGGAAATTCTGGGGTCTCGTCTTGTGGCTCTATTGGCCCAGTGGATATAATATGATATAATGTTATATCAGTAATTAATATATATATATATATATTGAGACATTTCAACAGCCAAGGGGATTTCTGATGTCCCCACAGTGACTTCAGTGATGACTCCAGCCTGATCATTCCCAGCCTGCGGCGCCAAGGATCTCAAACTGCATTTCTTTTGGCACAGCGAACCGGACATCACCGTGGAATGTCGCTGGGAGCTGATTTAGGGACGTCGCTGGAAATGGGGAATCCCGAAATCGGTGGTCAAACTTTTGTGTGCAAAAACGATTAAAAAAACACAAAATATTATCATTATTATTATTATTACTATTATAGTAATTATTATTATTAATTATCATCATTATTATTGAGATTATCATATTTTTATATCATTATTATTGAGATTATCATTATTGAAGTGATAGTGAAGACAACAATTTCCACTTTGTGATATCCATAAGTTGAGTTTTAAAGCGTTTAATCCTGTTGAAAATCTATGTGGTGTTTACCCAATGCGATAAACCAACAAACCCCCAGTGGTGGTTGGATCATGGGATGGTTGGGTGAATCTCTCAGTGTTCTGGTTACCAGACAGATTGATCTCATGAGATATTTCAGACAGAATGTTCTGGTTCAGAACGGTTTTTTGAACGCAATATTCTTCATTTTCCCAACATTTCTTGTTCAATTTCTCAATTTTCGATGGATATTTCATTACCCATCCTTGCATTCTACCATCATGTTTGTGCCCATGATGGTTACATACCAGAAGGCTAATACGATCCAACATTTGACTGGAGATCTACTGTGTGATGTGTGTTGCCCACTGGGAATCTAACAGCTTGCTATGGGAAAAACACCATAGAAATTATTACGATAGATATATAAATGATTTATAAATATACCTACTCCGTTAAGACTATGAACCACTATTAAACTGTCATTTCTTCAATATTCAAATCATCCAGAACAGGTCCATTCCATTTTCCATGGCATTTTTCCAGCTTTCATAGCTTTCTGCCTCCAAGGCAAATTGGGAAGTGTGGCTTTACCCAAGTTGAAGTTGGGTTTCACCATGTATTTGGGCCTCCAGGGAGAGGTGCCAACAGGGAGTTTTTTGGTGAAATCTGTGATGTTTCTTGGGATTTTATACGGAATTTGTATCTATACTAGACCTTATCATACCTTATCTGGTTGGTGCTTTGGAACATTAATTTTATGACTTTCCATATTTTGGGAATTTCAACATCCCAACTGACCAACTCCATCATTTTTCAGAGGGGTAGGTATACCACCAACCAGTTATATAGTTATTAACCATCATTAACCATATAATAACCATATATTAACCATTATTAACAGTATATTAGCCATTAACCATACAAACCTTAGTGTTTGGGTCGATGGTTACCCCAAGTTACCATGCCTTATCCTTTGTAGAAACGATTTATTCCCGCGATTTGATGTTCTTTGAACTGCGACTGGAACCGCTTCCTTGTACCAAAGATTCGCCAAAGCCAAGGAGCGATGGCTCCACAAGTTGGGGGATCGAAATGGCGCTGAACAATATTTTGGACGATGAACATCTCCATGTACCATCTGGTTATTTAATTATTTGTTACTTTTTGCCATGGAAAATCACCATGCTATTAAGAACGGTAAACCATCTAATTATAAATATGGGCCATTTTCCATGGCTATGTAACAAATAACCAGATGGTAATCCCTTTAATTTTATGGTTGTTGGATTGCTTTAAGGAAAACAGACAGGACACCGGACACCAGGTTTTTTTTTCCCAGTAGACAGACGCCTTTCCCACAAAAAAAATATAGGGTTGTACCAAAAAAGACAATATAGTCAACATAGGGGGTTTTCCATGGCTTTCCCAGAACATGTTGCTTCCAGTACACACCTCTGAGACATGGCATGGTCCGTTGACGAGCTTCCCCCAGACGCTACCTTTTCCATTGCCAGTCTGAAGAGCCGCCATTCTTCAATGCAGCCATGCTCTACATGGGTAACTCGACCTTTCAGCACCCCTTGGGACTCCTTGGGACCCCTTTGGACTTTGAGGGGTGCGATAAAGCTTTAGTTGTTACAGTAATAATCCGTGTATAATGTGTATATATATATATGTATATATATATATGTATATATATATATGTATATATATATGTATATATATATATATGTATATATATATATATGTATATATATATATGTATATGTATATATGTATAAATATATATAAATGGGATACAAATCCACATATAACTGGCTTATCGTATTGGGTGCTCACCTAGTATCTAAGATGCAGATTCATGTAGTGAGCCATTGTAGCTTGATACGCTTACTTTGGATCTTGATGGGAAGATCCATCAATTTCCCAGTCAGGATGACGGCAAAAAATATACTCGGAGACATTTTTCCTTGAACGATTAACAGCCATGTATCCGACATTTTCAGGGCACTTTAGGACATATAATTCATCCTGTTTTCCGAGGAAACTCAGATTTCCAGAGGATTTGTCCGGAACTTGTGATTCGCATTTCCTAGTGGACATTTGTGAGGAAACGGCTTCATGCACGCGCGGGATGTGCTGAACACCAAACAGGTTTCCGCTTGGGGGAAGGGTCCATTTCTTGGTCGCCAGGTGACCTATGAGGTATTTTTGCTGAGCCGCCATGGAAAGGTGAAGCTGTTGAAGATTTCGTATCTATGGGGAAACCTATCATACCATATTTTTGGGGAAGGGGAAGCTCCATGTACCAGCTAGTATTGGGTTCACCAGGGTACCAGAGTTTCGACCCATAACCAGATCTGATTTGTTTCCGAATTGGGCGACAGCAGTGTGGATATTTTCACTTGTGGCGTCAAGGCAGGGGAAAGTACAACGACCTCATGGCAGACATATCGGTGCATGGAACGGTTGTGTACATGGGACATCGCCATGAATACATTATATATATACACATTATATATATACAGTATATATATTTACATTATATATATATATACATTTTATATATTTACATTATATATATACATACATATATATATACACATTATAAATACATATATATACATTATATATACATATATATACATTATACATACATTATATTTACACATTATATATACACATTATATATACATATCATATATATATACACTATATATATATATATACATTATATATACATATATACACATTATATATATATATACATTATACATATACACATTTATTATATATATACATTATATATGTATATGTATATACATTATATATGTAAAGTTGCGGGTCGTTGGGGAGGGGGGCGCTGACCATATATATATATATACATACATACTTTATATATAATGTATATACACATTATATATATATATACATATTTATATATATACACATTATATATATATATACATTATATATATACACATTATATATATACACATTATATATATATATATACACTCTATATATACACATTATATGTAAATACACATTATATATATACACATTACATATATATACATTATATATATATACATATACATGATATATATATACATTATATGTATATATATACACTATATATATATATATACATTATATATATATACACATTATTTATATATATACACATTATTTATATATATACACATTATTTATATATATATATATACATTATATATATACATTATATATATATACACAATATATATATATATACACATTATACGTATATGTATATATACATTATATATACACACATTATATTATATACATCTAATATATACATTATATATACACATTGTATTGAATATATCTAATATATAATATATATATATATATATTTAATCAAACATACCGATCAAATATACTTAAGGATGGTAAAAATGGGACCTCCTTCCCCATGTAGGAACTCCCCAAATTGTTGGACATGAATGTAGCCAAGACTCGCCCCCAAGTTGGGTTTGGGCCTTCCTCTTGCATCAGTTTGCCTGAAAACTCTGTAGGTACTCGCACATCAAAATCCAATGGTTTCTTCTCATTTTCCCATAATATACTGTATATATATATACATTATATATACTGTATACACATTATATCTATGGGGTTCATCCTTCATTTTCAGGCATACCTGATATATCCTGATACCTACAGTACATGTCTTGAAGAAACGTAACCAGCGTCACGCTCACAGGAGAAAGAGGATCCTTACATCGGTATGACCTTTGGCGACGCCTGGCAACTTGGCGATGCTGAATCCAGGTGGGGTTTTTGCACCACTGGGGTTGGTCAAAAATCGGGTAAGAACCATGGATGTAGAGGGGATATCATTGGGATTTATAGGGACTTATAGAGACTTATAGGAATAAAGTCCGATTCCGCAATAGAGACTTATAGGGATATTCGTGGGATTTATAGGGGTTTGTAGAGACTTATAGAGACTGATAGGGATATTATTGGGATTTAGAGGGACTTGTAGAGACTTATAGGGACAAAAAAGGGACACAATATGTTATAATTGGAATGATAATTGGGATATAATGGTGATTTACCCTTTGGTAATCAAACATGGCAATGGAAACATCCCCATGTGTTTGATTTACCCAGGGAACTATACCTCCATTCCGTTCGGGGTTTCCTGACCATGTAGCTGAATGACACCGGTAGAAGGTCATTGCTGAAGGGATTTCTTCATATTACTATGTTGGGATATTCATGAATTAAAGTCTGGGGTGTTTGCTTCTGATCTCAAACAGATTTTGTAATTTTGATTCGGATAGATGGATAGATAGATAGATAGATAGAAAGATAGATAGATAGATAGGTAGATAGGTAGATAGGTAGATAGGTAGATAGGTAGATAGGTAGATAGATAGATAGATAGATAGATAGATATATGTATATATATATATGGATTCATCGTACTGTTTATTTCCTTTTGGTGGTTCAAACTTGGCTGGCTGCTTCCAGTCCAGTAGTGTTCTATTACCAAAAAGCAAACGTCGACACCGGAAATATCATCGCTGGGTAAACCTTTGTTTGGCGGATCAATGGATGATACTAACACACACACACATGTAATGTAATGACAATGTAATGTAAAGCAATGCAATGTAATGTAATAATGTAATGTAGTGTAATGTACATCTAAATGTAAATGTAACTTTTTATGTTAATGTAATGTGAGTATTATGTGATATTTATATATTGATATGCCATTTTGATGGAGGGATCTGCTACCAGTCAGCCAGGACTCAAACGAAACTGGAAATCTGTAGAAATTCAGATTGGTACAAGGAAGGCCTCAGAATCGTCAGATTTCATGGGAAAAACATCTGATTGGTGGTTTGGAACATTTTTTTATTTTTCCATGTATTGGGAATGTCATCATCCCAACTAAACTTTTTCAGAGGGGTTGGGTTGAAACCACCAACCAGTTATATAGTTATTAACCATCATTAACCATATAATAACCATATATTAACCATATATTAACCATTATTAACAGTATATTAGCCATTAACCATAACCATACAGTTATTTTCTCGTTTTCGGATGTTCGGAAAAGCCAAACCAGCAGCAACGGAGTCGTTGGAGCCAAGGACAGGCTTTAGCACCAGCTTTGCACCTCGGCTGAAAACCTCGGCACGTTGGGTCAAAAATGACATATTTGACCTGCCATGGTGAAGTCAAAATAGATGAGATATGATGAGATGGTAAATGGATGTTTATCCAACTAAATGTATCTAAATGTCATTTTGGATGGAAACATGGCCAATTTTTTTTTGAAATGTGGCGTTTACGCGACGAGAAATGCAGCATTTAGATGGGGATTTGAACCATCAGGCGGATATCATAGGGATGTAATGGAGATTTATATAACCATCCAAACATGGGGATATAATGACTGGTTGGTGGTTTGGAACCATGGAGTTTTATGACTTTCCATTCAGTTGGGAATAGTAACCCCAACTGACGAACTCATATTTTTCAGAGGGGTAGGTCAACCACCAACCAGATGATAATGCAATACGGATATAATATACTTGGACGTATGACTAAACAAAATGGTATTTGTGTCTGAAAATGGGGTACACCCCCCAATGCCCATCAAATAGTCGAGATGATGATTAACCACGGATTTAGGGTAGCCGATTTCAGGCGAACCCATATGGCAGACATCGGAAGATAAGTCTCACAAGGAGCCTGTGCGGTCTACTTTCTGGGTATATGTTGGGCTTTTGAAGTATCCCTTTCACAGTCCTCTCGAACACATTTTGAAAACAAGTTCAGCACCCCCAACATGCGTTTTTTGTTGAGTCTGTTGCAACTTTGGGATACGCCAAACAGTGACTTATTGGGTGAACGGCCATTCCATTATAGCCATTTCTGGAAACATTTTAGGCACGGTCACCAGGGTACAACGGTTCCTTCCGCTCCTCCCTTGGTTGTGCATTCCTGATGAGTGTGTCACCTGTCGTTGGTCAACCCCCAATCTTAATCATGCACTCGATTTTCATGGACATTTCCCAAACAAATTGGGATGCGCATCCAAGTTCTCTCATGAACTCCCATAAGTTTTTTTGGATCCCCATGTTCAATGGAATGAATGAAACATATCAGGAAACCATAACTCTTGAACCCCCCAAAATATGGCGAACTCTTCGAGTATTTAAAATTTAGAGTACCCCCAAAGTCCAGTTCTTCATCCTCCCCCCCAAAATACCATTTTCAACAGATCCCCCAACTTTCTGGAGAAAGCGCTCCAGGTGGAAGATGCGGTGGTCGGAGCGCTCAACGGCGCCTCGGAGTACTGGGTATTAATCCCATAGGGATGATGAGTTTGGTGATCCTATGATTCGTTGGTTGATGATAGTTATACCAATAGGATTACATGACTATATAGTTGGTATGACATCAACTATTATTAGTCAGTAATGTATAGTATCAGTATAATAATACCATTATTATGATCATTGGTCTATGATTAGCTGGTATAATGATTATACTAATACTAATACTATTGGTTATACTAATAGTGATCTAATTATAATACTAATAGATTAGTATGACTCCAATCCTATTAGTTTTTAGATGTTACTAATCTATATTAGTTAGACCAGCCCGACTCATAGACTCATAGGATTACAGTCGAAGAATCAAGAGAATCATCAAGCAGGCTGATTTCTATGGGGTATCACCAGATTTCCAATAAACTGGGTATTGCAACAATCCAATAGGAGAATCCCCTTCTTAACAAGTATTTCATGGAACAGAGGGATTTTGAAGCGATGAATTCAGCCTTTTGTGGGTTCAAAGAAATAGAAGCAAGGGGCAAAATGGCTCCAAAGACGGGGATATGATACAGGTATATACAAGTCATAAATGATGGTCAGATAGTGCTAGATAGTTTTTGGTTGTTGGGTGGTAAGAATTTGTCTAGTGGGGATTTCTATGACCAATTATGGGAACCCTCACCAACCAACTGATAAAAGGGATGACTGAGGGTTTACAACACAGCTCAGGTAAGCCATGTAGAACAACAACACTGGGACAGGTTGGAATTAAAACAAGAAGCATGGAGATATGAACAAGACATGGTAAATCTTGGTGAATGATACAACTAACTATATTGCTTAATACTGGTTGTATCATTTGACCATTGATCTTAATAATGATTAATATATGTGAATAATGGTAAATATATGTTAAGATGTAGGTCTCCAAGTTGACAAACGCTGGTTGTTAATGGAGTATGAACCGTTGATGATTTTCCATGCGTCTTGTTGGGCTTTCACCTCCAATTTTTCCATCATCCCATATATTAACCATGGTTTAATGGTGGTTAAATGGTGGTTTAACCATCCAACAAAATGGTGGTTTTAATAGGACTTATCCTCTGGTCAACTAACAGTTTGCTATTGAACATTGCCATTTAGTTCGTTGATTTTACCCATTGAAAATTAGGTGATGTTCCATAGTTTTTTGTATGTTTACCAGAGGTTAAGGATCTCATTAAAACAGCATTTCTGTGGGATATAAATCCTCCACGAAACCAGGGCTGCTGCAGGTGTCATCGTGCCAAAGCTCGTGCTACCTTCCCGTCCCTTGGCAATCTGGGTCGGTTGGGTCAATTTTTAGAACCTCTTTTTGTCCGTTTCTGAAAAGGGACCAACATTTTTTGAGACGTTAATTTTTAAGGAAGATCACCTCATTGATTTATCATATCCATCCTACTCAATGAATCAACGTCTTGTTTGAAGAATGAGCAACATTAAAGTTTGGGTTTAAGTTTGACTAATATCCTATGGGCAGGTTGGAACACCCCGTTGAGTGTCCCTTGGCTCGGCCATGTTAAAAGGTATAGATCCGAGGGATGAAGAAAGCTTCCTGAATCAAGCTGGGGACAGTTTACAGACTTCATTGACTTCATGCATTTTGGACAATGACGAAAATTCCATCGCGATCCTGAAATTGCTGTCAGACGTTGTTTAATTTCTTCGAACTATGAGATTTGGAGAGTTAAATCATGTTAAATCTACATTTTTGCAGATGAATGTTGCTTTCCGTCGGATTTCTTAGACACATCGATGTTTTTTTTTGGGCCCAATCCACTATGGATAAGCCACCAGACATGTCGATCATTTCCCCAAAGGGAAGCATCGTCAACAGCAGTGGGTTATCCCTGGTTTTGTTCATGGGATTTTTGTGGGGTTCATCTACAACTAGGTTAGTGAACTAACCTACAAAACCGATCCATAGTTCGCCACCAAGTAAATATATCTAAAAATATCTTGGTTTATAAATTCATTCCCATCTAACTAGTTATAACTACCATAACCCCAAACGTGAAATTGTAGTAATTTCCCCAAATTTTTGATGCTTCAATGCCCATGGCTTGATGTGGCTTCATCAAGCCATGCAGCTCAGCCAGGATCGCTCCACCAAGGCATGTTGCTTCACGTTGGCCATGGCATGGTGGCACACGATCTGATGTGCCTTGGTGACACGCCTTGGTGACATGCCTTGGTCAAGTAGGGAGTTTAGCATCAAATCATATATTTAGATATCAGTACTTGCTATTTATTGATATCTTGACACAATATATATATATAATATAATATAATATAATATAATATAATGTAATATAATATAATGTAATATAAGATAATATAATATAATGTAATATAATATAATGTAATATAATGTAATATAATATAATATAATGTAATATAATATAATATAATGTAATATAATATAATATAATGTAATATAATGTAATATAATATAATATAATGTAATATAATATAATGTAATATAATATAATATAATATAATGTAATATAATGTAATATAATATAATATAATATAATGTAATATAATGTAATATAATATAATGTAATATACTATAATATAATATAATATAATTTAATATAATATAATGTAATATAATATAATATAATATATTATAATGTAATATAATATAATATAATGTAATATAATGTAATATAATATAATATAATGTAATATAATATAATGTAATATAATATAATATAATATAATGTAATATAATGTAATATAATATAATATAATATAATGTAATATAATGTAATATAATATAATGTAATATACTATAATATAATATAATATAATTTAATATAATATAATGTAATATAATATAATATAATATATTATAATGTAATATAATATAATATAATGTAATATAATGTAATATAATATAATATAATGTAATATAATATAATGTAATATAATATAATATAATATAATGTAATATAATGTAATATAATATAATATAATATAATGTAATATAATGTAATATAATATAATATAATGTAATATAATATAATATAATATAATGTAATATAATATAATATAATGTAATATAATATAATGTAATGTAATATAATATAATATAATGTAATATAATATAATATAATGTAATATAATATAATGTAATATACTATAATATAATATAATATATTATAATGTAATATAATATAATGTAATATAATATAATATAATATAATGTAATATAATATAATATAATATAATATAATATAATGTAATATATATATATACTATATAAATATAGATATTATATTTGTATATATATATAATATAATATTCTATAAATATATTTACTTGGTCAAAATCTACAAAAGAGGGGGGGGAGTTTCTCAGCGAGACATCTCAGGATGCCAAAGCCTCATGGATGTCTGCAGATCACTGTGAAAGGCCCACGTGGGATCCCAGTGGATATCGATAAGCAACTGGCCACCCGGCCTGGTAAACATACAAAAAACCATGGAACATCACCATTTTTCATGGGTAAAACTATGGAAAATCACCATTTTTCTATGGGAAAATCCACTAAATCACAATTTTTCTATGGGAAAATCCACTATGATGGGAACATCTACAACTAAATCAGCCCTGATTTATCCAAGAGAAATGGTGTTTTAATGAGATTTTACTCACCATAGTGAAGATACCCGGCTTGGTAAACGTTAACAAAAAACGATGGAAAGATCCACCTAATTTTTCATGGGAAAATCCACGATTTCAAAAGGGCCATCTACACAATAGCTTTTTGTATGTTTACCAGAGGGTATCTACAGCCTAGTCAGGGCACACGTCATCATTTCTCTAGAGTTGTTTTCTAAGAAAATTTGAGGATCCTTATATAATTTTATTCAATTTGGTGGTATAGTATCAGTGTGAAAAATCCAAAATGTTTGATTCATCCCCATCTTTTTTCAAAGTACCACGACCTAAAATTTGACGAGATCCAATACTGCATCCTGGTAATTGGTATACATCCCCTGATCCCCATCAATGATGGGTCAAAGAAAAATCATGATCAAAGCCTGGCTGTTTCTCAAGATATCCATAACTTTAATTGGCAACATACTATCCTGATCTATACTGTGGATGGTTGCGAAATCCTGCACCACCAAAAGGATGGTTTGAAACCCATACAAAATCATGGGATAAATTCCATCTATCAACTGGTGATTCGGATTTCGCTGGCCCATCCACTGTAGAATTCCCTGATCCCCATCTCCTTATTGATGGGTCATTTATTCATGATCAAACCCTTTGTTTCTCAAGATATCCATGACTTAAATTGACAACATACTATCCTGATCTATAGAATTCTATAGATACTCAGATACTCCACTTGGTTTCGATAGCATTTCTATTCTCTGTTCACCTGGAACGACCATGTTGGTCTGACCATCTGCCAAGTGGAATCATCACCATGATTTCGATGGCACAAATCGTTTCACAACTTCATCAACCTAAAATCGTCCAACACCAAACATCCCCAACCCCAACCCATCTACTACAAAAAATTGAAAATTAGTCCTGTAACACTTGAAATTGGGTTAGATTTATCTGTTATAGATCTAAAAATGTCTTCTTTTCCCGGTCACCCGGAGTCACAAACGTCCAACGTCTGACGCCGCCGCAGGCGTCAACGGTTTGGTGGGCACCGAATGGAAGCTGCAGAGTATTCTGACGGGCGCACGCTCCAACGACCCGCGCCTGGACGTCGACAATGGACATTTCAGGAACATCAAATTGGAGGTACCTAGCATATACAGTATAAGTTATATATATAATATGTAATACTATATCTATAGTATATGATATATAATATATATATATACATAGTATATAATATAATAATATATATACTGTATATATATATATACACTGTGTATATATATATAGTATATAACATTATATACATACACTGTATATATATATATAGTATATAATATAATATATATATATATACTGTATATATATACACTGTGTATATATATAGTATATAATATTATATATATACACTGTATATTTATATAGTATATAATATAATATATATATACTGTATATATATATACTATATAATATAATATATGTATATATATATACACTATATATATACACTATATATATACACTATATATATATACATATATGTATATTATACTGTGTGTGTATATATATATATATTGTTAGTTATAAGGCCATATAAGGCCGATTTTTAAGGGCTGTGTACGGACATACCCTCACAAAATATTGCCTCATCGAGTACTATTTATCCTACGTAGATTCCCTTTGGATGAATTTGATCATGACCTCACGTCGCTTTCCGTCGAATGATGGGTAGTTTTGTTTTTGGAATCATCCGAATCATCCCACCAATTCACTAACCTGAATTATAAAAAATAGATGAAAATTCTGGATAATTATCATAATTATCCATTTTCAGATTAGTGAATTATTGTAATTCAGCGAGAATTTGTGGCCGTTCTTTGGATCGCCATGACAACATTACCAACCTCGACCATAGACGGTTTTGTTCCCTTTTCTGTGAGTTACAGCACGTCCTGGGATATTCCAATTTAGGCTGAGTCCCAGAGTTTGACAAGATCTCCCGCTGCTGAAAATCCCCATACAACATCATTTGTTTGTGCCAGTTCACACCATTCACCGCCCAGTCTTGGCAAGATTTGTTTCCTGGTTCGACCGTTATCATTGGTTGCAATAAGTTGCAATCCCACATCAACGTCTCTGCATTGCAACACGGCCAGAAAATGCCAGAAATTCCCCAGACGTAAACATGATATTTGCCTGAAAACTTGGGTTTCAAATGGTTTCAAGTTGCGGTGTTTTTTGGGATGGTTTCGTGCCCACAAGGACAACCATCTCCATTTTTTGATCATTAAATCACTGCCGAAGTTCATGATTTTTCAGAGGGGTTGGTGGCTCAACCACCAACCAGCCATTATATTATAGATCATTCTCATGATATTATAGATTATTCATCTATAATGGTATTATCATATCATAAGTCTATATCATGATATGATTTCATATTTGTCAGATTTGTCATAATAGAATAGTTTTTTTTTCTATTATAGACAAATATTATTACGTATGTTTAAATATCTATTTGCCATATAGCATGATAAATATATATATATATGTGTGTGTCTTAATATTTGTCGTAATGTTTAAAATATCTATTATGGCAAATTTTCCCATCATGAAATCTGATTTGCTGGCCTCAACCATCCGACGTTGGACGTTCGCTGCGAGGTATGTCACAGTGGACCTGGGTGGAAGTGCCAACAGCCTCAGGACATGACAGGTGGAGGGTAGGTGAAGAGTGAGGTCTTGTTGATTGTTTCTTACAAGTGCATTGTGTACACACGCACATATGTATCTATGTACATATATTACGAATATGATATGCATATATATATGTATGTTTATGTATATACAGATATTATATCAATATATATATATAGATATTATATCAATATATATATATATAACATATATATATATATATAACATATATATAACACACACACATATATATATATATAACATATATATATATAACACATATATATAACATATATATATATAACATATATATATATTACATATGTGATTTATAGTTACATATATACATATAGTATATGACATATGATTATATACATATATATATATATTCATTATATATATAAACAGACACTGATTTTTGAATACGTATAAAATTATATACATCTTGTTCTGCTACAGACGTTTCTTTTGCGCTGGATGCAGGACACCCACGTGCTACAACGAGCTGAATCCCACCTGGGATGATGGAAACACCTACTACTTCGCAGGGACGCCCAGGGTGGACAACCATAGGAAAACCATAGGAAAACCATAGGAAAATGTTGATTTTTACCAAACATGGATTTCCATTGGGATTTTGGTGTTGAGGGATCCGGGATGGAGGGGTGGTCCACGGTCGAAATGTGATCACGACTTCAGGGCAGCATAAGATAAAAAACGAGAGGAACGCTTTGACAGATATTCCCTGAATTTTAGGCCTTATATAGGCCTTATATGTGGTAGGTACCTCCAATTTGGGTTCCTGAAATGGCCATTGGCAATTTTGGATGTCACCATTGATGAATGAAAGTAGGATCTAGAACAATGAGGTTCACCACATTGTTCTCAATTTATTTGAAAGAATCAATTCCTCCAGTTGCCACATGGGCCGCCCCATGCGGTTTCAACTAGCCACAGAGGAGTTACAGTACAAGTTCTGAATGTCGACTTGGGGGTTCTAAACCGATGTACTTGTGGTAGGAAAATGTTGCACATGGATTGCACCAGATATTTTAATGCTGGTTGGTGGTTTGGAACATGAATTTTATTTTCCATTTCATAGATGGGATGTCATCCTTCCCATTGACTTTCACTCCATCATTTTTCAAGATGGTTATTGCACCACCAACCAGTATATCATCTCAATATAATCCTATATAATCTCCATATAATCCGCATTATAATCCTAATGGCATTTGGGCAGAAGAAAATGATATGAACGAGCACAAAAAACAGCTCCGACAGCTCGGGTGCTGGGTCCCAGACTTCGCTCACTCGGGTTGAGAATGCAACTGGCAGCTGGCTGTTCAAACATGGCTTACACTTGATAACATGGGATAGTTGCCAACAAACTTGAAACATGGCCAGACATTTCCCAGAAAAATGGATGAAATACCCCTTCGAAGTCATAGGGGGTTAGCAATTCCCATTGAGGAATTGCTAGTGATGGGATGACCATAGCCCATCCATATTCATCCCATGTAACTTGACACACATGATTACTCAATGGATGATAAAGCCATAATGGATGAACCGATAAAGCATGGACGGCAGCACTTAGTCACTTGCCAACTTGTTTGGGTGTAACCTCGATTTGTTAGTTGATTTTCCCACTTTTCTTGGTGCTTCATATCATTGAACTCCTCACAAGAGGGGGTTCAGCACGCTGCGGATTCAGGTCATCGATTCTGTGCCACTTGGCCGATGTTTTAACTGAAACCTTGGGACCGAGTTTTCCAGCTGGCAGATGGTTTGTTGCAGTGGGAAAGGTCGTGGATTTTGGGGGGTTCACCATTTTTGAAGGTGCCAGTGTGTTTTTTTGATTTAAAGGTGAGGTCCAATCCTTTCAGGGACCGGCTGAGGGGCGTTCGGCGAGCAATTTCCAGCTGTTCTTAGCATTTTCAGCTTGGGAAAACCCAACCGAGGCGTTTGCAGCACTTCAACCTTCGAGTCTACGACGATGGTTTGCTGCAGATGTTCCGTGAACAGCAAATAGGCGGACTCTGCCAGTTGGGATGTGAAAAATTGAACCCCCCGCAATCCTAATTGTTTGTCATTTGTCATCATTAATCTATAGGCAAAATGATTGGGTATGCCCCATATTAATTTCAGACCCATGACTGGGAACCCGCTGACCTACCTACCTGCCTGCCTACATGCATAAATAAACTAGCCCAACCTAGCCTAAGCTAACCTAACAAAGTGACACAACACAACACAACATGCATACATTGTGTCATATATCAAATCGATATATCTTCACAGAGATTTCGCAAGAAATACACAAATTACACAAATAAAAATCAGGATTTTCACACATAAATGATCCTAGCTGATTTCATATATCCCAACATATAGATCGTTTTATCGATCATTTTTTACATATGATACTGTATATACGTATAATTATATAATTATATATATATATCCCAAGTTTTCATACATCTATATTCCAAGGTTTATTTTTTGGGATCTGGGATCTACACACCAGTCGCCGCCGTTTGTCGCATCGGTCGTTGTGACTTCCTCTTCGCCAGGCATGGCGAGTCAGGAGGATTTGATGGCGCGGAAGTTGGGTCTCAGTGCCTTGGTTCCTGGATGTCATCAATTACCAACCTGATTGTATGTATCAATTACCTGCAATACTAATGTAGTAACGGTAGTGGATAACATTGCAGTCGTAATGGGATCTATTACTTTAATAGTTCAGTGTTATCAATAGTAATGATAATATACTACTAATAGTACCATTGATAGTACGGCAATAAGATAATACTATTGCAATATGTCTATGACTCTAATAGTAGAGTAATCACTGCATACAATCAATGGATAGATAATGGCAATCGAATGTAATCTGATACAGCCTGTTACTATTGATGATACCAGTGAGATCTTTACATATTGATATCAAAAGGTCACTATAAATCAATAGATACAAGATGATATAACATATTTCAAATATCCATCTATAATATTCATATTGATAGTATTATTATTGATATTATCATGTCATATCACATATATTACTAATCCAATCCTGTTTATTCATCAAACGTAAATACAAGTGTTATAGTAATACGTTGTAGCAATAATCACTACAATTGCTATAAGTATATGTAGTTTTGTTATAATCGCTATTGCTACATAGTCATTATCATACTATTGTTATAGCATGTTGTAGCAATAATTGTATTTGTAATGACTAAGTGCTGTGTATACACAAGAATGATGCTGATAATAACAATCCTTCTGGCTTGTGTTATCAACATGGTTGTTATACTTCAATTCTTCTTCTTCCTTCTTCTTCTTCTTCTTGTTTCTTTATGATCGAAACATTGTAGATCGGATTATTACTATTATTGTCATAATTGTTGTGTTGTTTGGCAGTGGCGATGGTGATGTATTTGATGATTGTGTTGTTGTTGTTGTTGATGATGATGATGATGATGTTGATGTTAGAGACGTGATTAGTAACCGCCGAATCTATCCCACTTGCAGGGGAGAATTGTTGGGAATTATGGTCAACAACACCATTTGCATGGATAACTACAGGTAGGACCCAACTGAAGTCTGGGGTTTTACAGGGTCAAAATGTCCGTTTTCATGTGGAGAACCTCCAGGGTCCCCAGAGACAAGACACCCGTGATTTCAGCCATTTCAGTTGGGTTCTACATGGTTCGAGACCATCCAATTTCCATGCCAGCCATCCCCTGTTTCTTACACCCGATTTCGGGACCTAAAACAGCATATATACCATCTGGTTATTTGTTACATAGCCATAGAAAATCACCATTTTTAATAGATAAACCATCTATTTCTATGGGCCATTTCCCATGGCTATGTCAAATAAGCAGAGGGTAATTAGATCCAACAACTAAACCTTGAGTTCTGGTGGTATGTGTGTGGGAAAGAGATTAGACAAACGAAACTCGGGAAAAGGATTTATTACTAACCATCGATCCCAAACTTTAGTATCCCATTAACATCCCATAATATATATATATATATCAATATTACCCATATCCCATTAGTTATTATTCATATTCCACTAACATCCCATGAAAATCATATCCCGTTTGGGTATGATTTGAGGCTCCAAAATCCCTCAGACTCCCAAGGTGTGATGGATCTTTTCGGGATGTCATCTCTCGACTTCTACGCCACTGGGATGTTTTTAGTGTTGGAGTGGGAACCTCCCATCATGCGGCTACGGCCGGTGGTGATCCAGTTGTGTTTGTTGGGTTATAAAATGCTATAAACCATGGTAACTAGTTCCATATAGCTAGCATAAACCCAAGTGAAATTGGACTTAGAAACTTATCTAACTATGGAGCACCACCTGGTAGGGGTCCATCACTAACCATAAAGGCCACGAAACACGGAGAGTTTGGGCATTTTATGGAAGTGGATTGAGGAAGTCATCCATTGTTTTCGGCGCCAGCCTGAAATGTGTGCATGATCTGCACCCCAATGTTTTTTATTAACAGCAAAATTTTGCTATGGGGTCTTTAGCCCAGATTAGCTCCGGTGCAATCCGGTGCAGCTTCAACACTAGGTTCCGGACAAGGTTCCGGAGGGTTCTGGTGCATATACCTCGTGAGGTTCCGGAGGGTTCTGGTGCAGATATCTCGTGAGGTTCCGAGCATTTACCTGCCGGCCGCTGTCCTCAGGATTCTCACACACTGGGCCGTTCAAAAGATGGCCACTACCGAGCAAGACATGGAGATCGGGCTCACCAGCTGGGTGATCGCCGTTTCCCTGCCCAACGGGCAGGGCGGAAGAAAGCCAGCGCTGGTGATCAAGGTGGTGATCTGGGAAAATGCCGAGCAGCCTCCCGCTGAGGATGACGTGATCTGCATTGTGGGATCGGGCAGCTCAGAGGCGGAAAGCCCGGAAGGCGAGGAGGTGATTCGTGCTTGCAGCCAAAATAATTTTCCTCTACAGAAGTTGACTAAAGGCACTCCACAATAATTTCTCAGTTGGACAGGGGAAATTATTTCACAGAGCTCCAACTGTATAGAATAATTATCCCCCACCAACAAAAGAATTTATTGGGGAGAAAGAAGTCGATTCAGATTTCTTTGTCCAAAGGTCGATATTTAGTGGTTCAGTAGTGCCACCACCCCCAACATAATTAGGTTCTCATGGTCTGATTCTTTGAGAATGTTTGAGACAGTTTGGGTCAATTTAGGATAATTTAGGATCAATTTGGTATTTTTGACCTATTCCAGGGGATTGAGTGTTGCCAGGTTAGGTTAATTGGTTTCCTGGGGTGGCCTGGTAATACCCCCACCACCAACATAATTGTCTGGTGTGAAAGGGGGCCGGTTTAGAGATGATTTATTTGATTTGTGGTGCCACCACCTCCTTCGTTTTTCCCGAATGCGTAGCAAGGGTTCCCGTTTCACTCTGGGGGTCTGGGGGTTGAGGGTGTGTTCGCTCAGGGTGCGTTTACGTCCGCAACCGTTCGCAACCGTTCGCAACCGTTCGCAACCGTTCGCAACCGTTCGCAACCGTTCGCAACCGTTCGCAACCGTTCGCAACCGTTCGTGCGATTGCTATATGGCCGTGCCTATGGCCCATGGTAAGTTTTCCAGAAGGGATCATTTTTGGAGGTTTCAAACGTCTCGTTGCTTCGTTTCGCGTGGCAGGCGTGGCACTTCGTGACATTCAGACGTGTTTTGTAACGTGTCGAAAGTCGTTTTGTGTGGCAGACGCAATACTTTTGCGACGTTTTCGCAAGATGCGTTGCAGTTTTCATGGCAGGCGCACCACTTTAGACGTGTTCATTGTAATTTTGCGTGGCGGTTGCAGCACTTTAGACGTGTCGTGTTGCGTGTTTTTTGCGAATCGCATGGGCAGGGCTGCGTCAAGTGGCGACAAGGTGCAGATTCCGTGGCAGGTGTGGCATTTTGTGAGATGTGCTGAAAATTGACGGAAGCCTCGCACGAAACATCGATTTTGAGGTAGCAAATTTAGAGGTTCCTAAGAAAACTCGTAGGAAAACGTCAATTTTGAAGCTACAAAGTGTGAAAATTGGAGGAGGTCTCGCACGAAATCCTCCTTTTTGCTCCTCCCACGTGTCTCGTCTCGAGTCTCTGATTTTCCTGTGGCGTCGCCGTGTCTATGGGGGAAGCCGCAAAAGCTCTCCTTTTCGAAGGTTTCCAAGGAGGTTGTAATTTCGTTTTGCATGGCGGCGTGACACTTTGCGACATTCCAACCTGTTTGATAACGTGTCGAAAATTCTTTTGTGTGGCTGGTGCAACAATTTCCACACTTTACACTCAACACTTTACACTCCACACTCTACACTCCACACTCTACACTCCACACTCCACACTCTACACTCCATGCACTCCACCACACTCTACACTTTACGCACTCCACACTCCTCACTCCACACTTTACACTCCACATTCCTCCCACTCTCCACACTCTACACTTTCCACTCCACACCCCACACTCAACACTTTACACTCCACACTCCACGCTCCACAATTTACACTTTAGACTCCTCACTCCACATTCTACACTTTACGCTCCACACTTTACACTTTGCCTTTACACTCCTCACTCCACACTTTACACTCCACACTCCACACTTTACACTCCACACTCTACACTTTACACTCTACACTTTACACTCTACACTTTACACTGTATACACCCCACACGCCACACACTACACTTTAGACTCCACACTCGACACTCTACACTTCACACTGTACACTTTACGCGCTCTACACTCCCCACTCCACACTTTACACTCCACACTCCTTACTTTGCACTCCACACTCCACACTCTACACTTTCCACTCCACACTCCACACTCTACACTTTACACTCCACATTCCACACTCTACACTTTACATTTTTCACGCCTCACTCCACACTATACATTTTATACTCCTCACTCCACACTTTACACTGCAGACTCCACACTCCACACTTCCCACTCTACACTCTACACTTTACACTCTACACTTTACACTCTACACTTTGCACTTTACACTCTACACTCCACACTTTACACTTTACACTCCTCACTCTTCACTCCACACTCCAGACTCTACACTCCACACTCCACACTCCACACTCTACACTTTACATTCTACACTCTACACTTTACACTGTATACACCCCACACGCCACACACAACACTTTACACACTGTACACTCCCCACTCCACACTTTACACTCCACACTCCTTACTTTACACTAACAGGGGAAATTTGAAATATGTACAAGACTGTTCAAATAAACTATTGCTGACCAGTGTTCTGCGTGACTGCATGTCCATGTGGTTCGACATCTGTACCATTAACATACGTGTGAGCATTCGGGTTCGTGGGCTGCATCTTGTTTTCACGATTGAGCGGCTGCCCTGCCAGGCGGCATCAGACGGCATGAGATTTTGTTGGTTATTATTTTGAGGTGGCTCTACTGTTTTTTTTCAGTCATCCATCACCTTCTTCCACCACCTCAAAATGATTTAAGGAAATATTTTGAGGCACGGGAACTGTTTTGAAAGTAATCGTGGAACCATCACCAAATATTTGTTTTTAACATGTTAGAAATTATTTTGAGGGGGTGGATAGCTTGAAAGAAGAAAGAAACTTATTTTGGGTGGGTCATAATGTTTTCGAAAATTATTTTGAAGTGACTCCTAACTACAAGCACCTGTGCCATGCACCAAAAAAGAAAACTGCATGTTTTCAGCAGCACCTCTGAGAGCTCAAGCCTGAAAAAATGCCAGTCGCGACACTCCTGACATGACCACAGGCAGGCAAACGAAGTAAGAATTTCAAGAAAGAGCATTCGTCTCCCTTCGATGCATTCCTAAAGTCTGCGCGGGCCCAGGTTTCTACTGGGCCCTCGTTGTGAGCGAGTTCGCGCCGCCACTCTGGCTGTGGCTGCCACCGTTGGCCACAGTCGAAGATGTAAAGGCCTCCTAAAACTTGATAGACATGTCCACACATGATCATTGCAGCACTGACACAGGTTCTGTGGTGCCGGAGGACTTGGCTGGAGACCACAGGGAACACCTTTTGCCAAGTCGGGTGCGTCCGCGTGATCAAGGATGATGAGAGCTTCAGTGCTTCAGCCCGAAATGCTTGTGCTCTGAGAGGCAATGGGCGCATGCTGCTCGCGCACTACTGGCTCAGAATTCCATCTCTGAGAGTGAGTTAACTGGGAAGATCAAGGCTGCTTTGCTTTCCGGCTTGCGCCGAAAGCAAGATGCTGTATGTTTTGCTGGAAGCGGAAATGAAGGGAAGTCTTGGTTGCTTCGCCCTTTGACCTGCATCTTCCAACGTGTCTCTTGGCGCATCTTTTGAGTCTTTTGAAAGTTTGGTGCCAGTGCTACTTCTATTCTTGCCCCTAGTCTCGTAGGCACTAGTGGCATGTCTGTTTTCTAGCCATGTACCGCAGTAATCCTCATGTCTTCTTGCAGGCAAACACAGCAATCCGATTTGTGTTTCATGGAGTCTGGTCCCGAAGTCGTATATGATCTTAATTTATTTTGCGGCTGGGGTCTTCACATGTCCAGCTCGAGGATCTTGTCCGCTTCTGGCACTTCCTGATGCTGACTGCGTCATTCTGGATGACTTCAGACCAGATGCATCTATTGTTGATGTGTCCACGTCGCTCCTTTGGCTGGAAGGCCAAGTGATTCGGATCCAAAGGCCACTGAATGTGTTCTCTGGGCATGTCGATTTCAAGCCTTGCCGGCCAACTTTTTTGACAATGAACTGGCAAGCTCTGCACATGCCACGCGGCCGTTGGACGGAATCGGAGTTGGCAATGCTGAGAGCAAGGCTGGCGATCTTTCACTTTACTTGCAGAATTTTGGAAACGAAGGATATAGAAGCATGTCCCCAATGTTTCTGCATGTTTGTGCTTTCTGGTGGCAAAGACACCAAGAAGTTTTTAGACCGTGGCTTCCCACCTGTGGCGCCAGTGGTTGCATGATCGTACCTCCACACCATGAGAGTTTGAAGAGTAACCGCCGGCCCCGGGTCCCCCTAAATCATTGTTGGTAACTGCTTCCATGCTTCCATGCTTACACACAGTCAACCTTGACTTAGAGGGGTGTGGGGGAGATCCAATTCGCTGGTTGCGGTGCTGCATCGAAAATTCGCTAGCTAGTGGTGCTTGTCTCTTTGCTATGTAACTAATTCGAAGACAAAGGCGTTTTGCGCCCCAAATGAGAAATGGTGCATGTTGCTATCTTGGTCAAGTCGCCCAGTGCACATAGACTCAGACACATGATGACATGGTTTGTATGACGTGCTATTTCCTGTCATCCGCTTTCTGCCTTCCTGTACATGTCTGCCCCTCGCCAGGTGGAGTCTATGATGGCTTACTTGCTCAAAACTGAGCGGCTTCGGCCAAGAGAGCGGTCCAAAAAAGAGTTTTGGTGTGTCTCGACATGACGTTTGTGCACAGTTGTGCCGCGTTCATTGCATGAGTCCATGCGCAAAAGATCGTGGATAGGCTACTGGGTCTCTTCAATGCTACCTGTTGCAAATATATTGGTTTGGCAGCTGTATCCCAAAGCAGACGACTGTAGCTTTGTCACCGGCACTTTCTCGTGCTTGCATCGTGCAATAAGGTGCTGGGTTTGAGAGTTCAGACTAATCATTTGTGATCTTGCCTTTTGTTTTGCAGGCCAATATGCCTGCCTCCCAAGCGCAATCGACCCGAGGCGCTTCTTTGTTAGGATGAGTGACTCAAAACACTTGCGGTCACGAGAATCCCCCGGTATTGTGAGGTCTTGGCAGACCAGCTGGTTGAGCTGAAGCGGCGCCGTGCAGAGACCAAGGCACGTGCTCGAGCCTTGGCCCTTGAGGAGAAGAATTTGAAAAAGCGACGCGCACGCTTGTTGCAGGCAGGGTTTGCCTCAACACGTGACGTTGACTCTTTTGTATTTGTTTGCGTGAAAAGCTTAGTACAGGCTGCACGGCAGCTGAGCCAAGATGATCTTGTTCTTTTGCTTCGTGCAGGCAGGGAAACACGTCGTTTCCATAATGATACAACATAGCAGCTCCATGTTTGTCATACAGGAAATGATGGTGCTGCTGTTTGTTCGTCCTCCTGACGTTGCTCCTGGCGATGTTGCTCCTGGCGATGCTGGAGGCAAGGTGGACCATCAAGTGTTCAAAATAAACCAGGTTGTCAGATTCTAACAGAAGACGTGTTGTCTCAAGAACTAGGTCGTCGAAGTCTGACAGGTGACGTGTTGTTTCAAGAATTCTTGAAATGAACTAGGTCGTTGAATTCTTCAAATTACTTACCTCGTCGGATTCCAGCAGGTGACACATTGTCTGAGAAATGGTAAAGCATAGCAGCTCCATGCTTGTGCTGCAGGTCACTGAACCGAAGCAATGCCAGATCTAGGCCACGCACCAAAAAAGAAAATTGCATGTTTTCAGCAGCACCTCTGAGAGCTCAAGCCTAAAAAAAAAGCCAGTCGCGACACTCCTGACATGGCGACAGGCCGGCAAATGAAGAACGAACTTCAAGAAAGAGCATTCGTCTCCCTCTGATGCATTCCTGAAGTCTGCACGGGCCCAGGTTTCTACTGGGCCCTTGTTGTGAGCGAGTTCGCGCCGCCACCCTGGCTGTGGCTGCCACCGTTGGCCACAGTCGAAGATGCAAAGGCATCCTAAAACTTGATAGACATGTCCACACTTGATCATTGCAGCCCTGACACAGGTTCTGTGGTGCCGGAGGACTTGGCTGGAGACCACAGGGAACACCTTTTGCCAATTAAACAAAAAATATTTTGAGGGGGCACCTAGTATGTTTGCTTGAGGGAACCCGCATTATTTTTCCCCAACAGCAAAACTTTGCTATGGGGCCCTTAAAGCCCAGATTAGCTCCGATGCGATCCGGTGCAGCTTCAACACCAGGTTCCGGACAAGGTTCCGGAGGGTTCTGGTGCAAATACCTCCCGGAGGGTTCCGGTGAGGCTCCGGAGGGTTCTGTGCGGCTCCAAAGGGCTCCGGTGCAGATACCTTGTGAGGTTCTGGAGGGTTCCGGTGCAGATACCTTGTGAGGTTCCGGAAGTTTCCGGTGCTCTGTGAGGTTCCGGAGGGTTACGGTGCAGATTGCTTGCACGATGACAAAACAGGTGATTTTGATTTTATGTGATTTTATTTGATTTTGCAGTTCCAATATGCGCAACGAATCGCTGATATTTGATTCCAGAGCATTTTGGTATGCTACTTGACCCAACAGGGATGCCTGCATGGCTTGAAATATGCGGTTGGATCTCAACCATGATCAACGGGGTGACAAACGTCCTTGGAAACCCGTTAAAAATGGATGATTGAAAAATTGTCGGCACATCTACAGTGGATCTACCGGACATTTTTATGGAGGTAAGAACCCATGGTCTCCGGTGAATGTTTTCCCAACGAAAACCACTCCATTGACAAATCCGGCAGAATAAAATACTCGAACCGATCTCCGGGCACGAAATGCGATGGACCATAATCTCGATTTCAGCAAGCACCCTTGAAAACATGATTCTGAACCAAGTTAAGATGAAAAAACAGAGATTAACACACCTCAGATTGATTCAGATGGGGTATCACTCATGATTAGAATTGGATTTTCACTTAACAGGGACCTTCCTGTTAGACTTTTGGGTCGGATGATGTTTTTAAACCTGCGTCAACAGTGATGAACTGAGGATAAGGAACAGGAGAAAAACTTCACCTGTTCTCTGGACACCATTTGGGAAGGCCAGCGGAGCCACCGGAAGTGTTGGGAGTTGGTTGATGATTCTATGAGGTTATAGTAGTATCTATTTCAGGCCTTAGAAACTACTGAGGTTGCACGGAAACAAACATAGGGTTATACTATCCAATATATTCGGCATTATCAAAATCCATGAACTCAGAAATCCTCTGAACCAAGCAGTATGAGGGAAATGACACGGGGTTTTGAACACTGCTCAAGTGCTGAAATGGGGTTTATTTCATCCGATGTGGGGAGTTCCTTTCTCAACCAAGCCGTCTCTCGGGATTTTCAGGAGCGGTATCATGGGATGGCATGGGGTATGATTATCAAAGCTCTTCTGGTCAGATTTAGGCATGGTTTTAAATAATCCCAACAAAAACACAAATTTTGCCAGGTATTTTGCTGATAATTCATTAGATAATCATATAATCCAATTATCTCTAAATTAACCACCCTTTTATTTAGACATGATAAACATGCCCCCAGACCTCGGGATTTTAGGCGGTGCCCCAGTTTGCGTTGATTCATAACTAGCTTAAGTTTTGTGGCGATGGAGAAAAACCACGTTTTTTCTAAACCAACTCATGAATCAACTGACCCTTCTTTATTTTTGATATGTTTGAATGGTTAAATCCTACCTTGGGCACCACTGTGCAGCTGTTTTGATGTGAGCACAGGCTCTGACACAGATTAGGTCTTGATCCGACACTTGGCGTAACATTGGGGCCCCATCACCCTTTTTCCATGCAAATAAAAGGGATCTTAACCATTTTTTTTTGGGTGAGAGCATTCCTAGACATTAGATACTTCCGTTTTTTGCTCTACTCCCCATTTTTGTTGCTTAAGATGAAGATTTCCCATGGTTAAGTTCATGGTTCTTCCTGCACATTTTAGCAGGTTTCATCCCTACTTCGTTGGATAATTTCCATATATTTCCATGGAAACTCTGGAAGTTATCCATATTTTTCCTTTATTCTCCCTCTCTTCAGATCATTTCCACAGTTTCCATGGTGAAATCCTTATATGAATTCCATCATTTTACCAGACTTTTGGGCGAAATCGGCAGGTCGGGAGGACCACGCAGAGTTGCGAAACGCCAAGCCTCCGTCCATCACGCTGGGTGGCTGGGTTTGCGATAGAAAACCATCAGAAATCAGGATTATTGAATAATGGTTACCCTCTGGCCCTCTGGTTATTTAACATAGCCATGGTATAGATGGCCTATTTATAGATGGTTTACCTATTGATACTGAAAAAATGGTGATTTTCCATGGCTATGTTAAATAACCAGATGGTAATATTTGTGGTTAATGATGGTCAATAATGATGGTCAATAATGATGGTCAATAATGATGGTCAATAATGATGGTCAATAATGATGGTCAATAATGATGGTTAATGTCCTCCGTGTGATTTCATTGTCCCAAACATTACTGCTTGGTGGTGACTGGAACCATGGAATTTGGATGAATTTGGATTGACGCACTCCAGAAACAGTTGGGAATGTCATGCCATCCCAACTGACGAACTCACCAACCAGTGATTTAACCCTTGGTTTGGGGAGTTCACCAAAAGTGGGGTTGTAACCGACCAAAAAAATGGCTTGATTTCATCAACCCAAAATGGTGATTGAAGCAAGAAAAAGAAACAGGGAACATTTCATGGGATTTCTGATTTATGGCTAAGTTGGTGCAAATAACTCACTTAGAACCATGGTTTATGGTAACTATTGGAGTATCTATAGGTTTATGGTAGTTAACTATTTTACTATAACCATGGTTTATGGAAGATATATCTATACTTCATAGGGTTTATAAAGCAACAAACATCACTGGGCGGGAAATCACCTTGAGTTTTTGTTGCGGAATATGATGGTTTTTATCAAACATGGAGAGAGCCATTCTCGGGGATTCACTAGCTGGAAACTATTCTATGTTGATTTTGAATGTCTGATGAATCTGGGTAAATTATAACGACCTCACTGCGACCTCACTGGAATCATGGTTAGTAAGGGGAATCATCCCCAAATGGCCTTAATTCAGGTTAGTGAAATATTATAATTTACCCAGATTCTATGTTGATTTTGAATGTCTGATGAATGGTTTTTGATGTGTTTTTGGAAGGAGTCTGGGATTATATTTGTTAAGCTGTTGCCGTAGTTTTGACTACGAGGAGCGCAATGGTTCGGCTTCATACCATTGTGGGCTTGCGGGAGTTTTGATCAACAAGAGATGATAGTTCTGATGGTCCCTTGTCACGTCTTGACATCACGTCCAAACCATTTTTTTTACATTGATATCAGATGAACATGAAGTTGTTATATCCATTCATCATCATTCATCTATATTCTAAGAATTTATTCCATATATCATGATGTATATTCCATAATTAATTCCGTATATCATCTATATGTCATAATTTCCTCTCTATAGGACATCAACTTTACATGGATATTAAGTTGTTACCCCCAGAATTTTCCAATCTCTGGATGCATTGGATCATGACCTTACCATCAAACAAATAATTTTTTTGGGGGTATCTAAGATTCACCAGCTATCCATCAATCTATCAAGAAAGTCTATCCACATTATATTATATACAGTATATATATATATATAATCTACCCCGTTATCTTAGAATATAGAATTGAAATTTTGGCTTCCCAGGGCATCCCCATAATTGAACTTGAAAACAGTTACTTAGAATACAGTTGACGTTAAAAAACCTATACTTAGAATATCGTTGGGCCATATAAATTCTTTCACTTTTCCAGACGAATTCGTCATTTTTCCATAGGAGTTCTTCACTTTTCTTTATAAATCCTTCACGTTTCCATACAAATTCTTCACTTTTCCATATTTTTGCCATACAAATTCTTTCACTTGTTCAGTCAAATTCATCATTTTTCCATATATATATATATTTCTTAATAAATCCTTCACATTTCTATACAAATTCTTCACTTTTCCATATTTTTTCCATATAACTTCTTTCATGTTTCCAGACAAATTCATGATTTTTCCATATAAATTCTTCACTTTCCTATAACAATTCTGCACGTTTCCATACAAATTCTTCAGTTTACCATATTTTGCCATACAGATTCTTTTCCATATAAATTATTTTCCCTTTTCAGTCAAATTCTTCACTTTTTCCATATGCGTTTCTTCATTTTCTCCATAAATCCTTCACATTTCCATAAATCCCGACACCGGTCGTGGGGGATACCCTTCGGTGAGCTTGAAAAACTCATTTTTTTAATTCAATATATTAAAAAAAATGATCATTTCGGGGGACCTGTTTTTTTGTTTAACCGTTCCAGTTTAGGAACTTCAGATATCCAGGATTGCTTCTACCCAAAGGGAATTACGTATATAATAATTATTCATGAAGGGGACCCTATTCCTTGCAAAACTACATACATAGAATATAGGTCCCCAGTGAAAATATTCATCGTTTTTTTAAGGAATGCCACCTAATTCCATTAGTTTTCATTGCAAACTAGTTTTTTCTATTTTTTTCATAGTTCTCTGACACCGTTCGTGGGGGGTACCCTTCGGTGAGCTTGAAAAACTCATTTTTTTAATACAATATGAAAAGAAATTGATCATTTCGGGGAAGCTGTTTTTTTGTTGAAACCTTCTAGTTTAGGAACTTCAGACATCCAGGATTGCTTCTACCCAAAGGGAATTACGTATATAATAATTATTCATGAAGGGGGCCCTATTCCTTGCAAAACTACATACGTAGAATATAGGTCACCAGTGAAAATATTCATCATTTTTTTCAAGGAATGCCACCTAATTCCATTAGTTTTCATTGCAAACTAGTTTTTTTCATAGTTCTCCGACACCGGTCGTGGGGGGTACCCTTCGGTGAGCTTGAAAAACTCATTTTTTTAATACAATATGAAAAGAAATTGATCATTTCGGGGGAGCTGTTTTTTTGTTAAAACGTTCTAGTTTAGGAACTTCAGACATCCAGGATTGCTCCTCCCCAAAGGGAATTACGTATATGATATATATTGATATATACCCTTATACTTTTACATGGAAGATACCCCATTCCTTGCAGAACTACATACATAGAATATTGGTCCCCAATGAAAATAGTTAACCATTCTTGTGGGAACACCAACTAATTCCAGTAGTTTTCATTGCAAACTATTTTTTTCCATAGTTCTCCGACACCGTTCGTGGGGGGTACCCTTCGGTGAGCTCGAAAAACTCATTTTTTTAATTCAATATATAAAAAAAAATGATCATTTCGGGGGACCTGTTTTTTTGTTGAAACGTTCCAGTTTGGGAACTTCAGATATCCAGGATTGCTGCCACCCAAAGGGAATTACGTATATAATAATTATACATGAAGGGGACCCTATTGCTTGCAAAACTACATACATAGAATATAGGTCCCCAGTGAAAAATATTCATCATTTTTTGAAGGAATGCCACCTAATTCCATTAGTTTTCATTGCAAACTAGTTTTTTATTTTTTTTTCATAGTTCTCCGACACCGTTCGTGGGGGGTACCCTTCGGTGAGCTTGAAAAATTCATTTTTTAATACAATATAAAAAGAAATTGATCATTTCGGGGGACCTGTTTTTTGGTTGAAACGTTCCAGTTTAGGAACTTCAGATATCCAGGATTGCTTCTACCCAAAGGGAATTACGGATATAATAATTATTCATGAAGGGGGCCCTATTCCTTGCAAAACTACATACATAGAATATAGGTCCCCAGTGAAAATATTCATCATTTTTTTAAAGGAATGCCACCTAATTCCATGAGTTTTCATTGCAAACTAGTTTTTTTCATAGTTCTCCGACACCGGTCGTGGGGGGTACCCTTCGGTGAGCTTGAAAAACTCATTTTTTTAACACAATATGATTAAAAGAAATTGATCATTTCGGGGGAGCTGTTTTTTTGTTGAAACGCTCTAGTTTACGGACTTCAGACATCCAGGATTGCTGCTCCCCAAAGGGAATTACGTATATAGTAATCATACATGAAGGGGGCCCTATTCCTTGCACTTACCCAACCTAGACCATTTCCCATGGATCTCCACCATTCGTGGGGGGGACCCTTTGCGGTAGAAAAAAATCTACTTTTCAGAACACAAAGTAATAAACAATCAAATTAGTATGTGAAAACTGCTTGAAAAAAAAACAGAAACAGGCTGCATAGAGGTGTACAAAGGCTTCCAGAGCAAAGGCCAAATGGGGAGAAAACAGATGAGCACGAAATGTGGGCATATTCTAAGTGGAGTTGCATTCGAGTTCAACTGCATAATTGGAAAAACGGATATTCTAAGATAACGGGGTTGATTATATATTCTAATAGATCATTTTTATACCCCAGATGTTTCTGCCGTCAATGGCGATTTTCCCAAGAAAAAAACGTGAAGACTTCGTGGCGTGCCACCGCAAACCGTTTTTTCGAGGTCTGCATTGGCGTCCCATTGTCTACGGCCAGCCCTCCATGCTACCGCAGGCAGTTTAGTTAAAGCATTCGAATCCAAAAAAAATATATCATGAAATCATCAATAAACCAATATAGGTATATATATATATATAATATCTATGGGTATATATATATGTATTTCATATTCAATATGACTATATGAGATATCTACAAAGTTATGTTGTATTATTAAACTTAAACAAACATCATCATCATTAACTAACGTGTAGATAAGTGCTTCGGGAAGGCCATCTTTTTGGACGACGACGAGCCAGAGCCGGTGTGGCCGCACTTCGTGCTGCGCGTGTGCTTCGGGAAGTGCCTTGGCAGCCAGGGCATGGCAGAAGAAATCCATGGGGAAATCCGGTGGGAAAATGATCTACATTCTGGGTAAACTCCACATCTAGCCACAATGGAAGGATTTGAATCATGTGATGGATTCATATCAAAATGTAGAAATTTACAGATTCAAACGTGAATAGAATATCTATTGGGGTACAGTGATGACTTTGTTATACTCATAGAATTAGATCACGGGAAAATTTTAACCGGAAACCCTCAAAAAATTGATGGTAAAAACCATAGTTTCCTGTAGATTTTCCTTTAAACCAATCCATTGATATACCCTGTTAATCCATGTCTTTGGATGGTGACCATCCAAATCCTGACTTTCGGGTTGACCACTTCGACCGCCCTAGTGATTTTCCAGTGAAGGCTTGATCTTTCCATCCCCAATCCCCATAAAACTAGACCTTGAGGCTACTACTAAACTCACATTTCACTTATTTTTAGATGGCTATCTAGCTATTTATGTTGATCCCTTTTTTTTTTCCGGAGATGCGACACAGCAGTGTTGTTTTTTTTGGCCCGCTGCACTCACCCATCACCCCAGCGCCTCAAGAACGGAGTTCCCATTGCACCTGATTTTGAATGGTGAAGAGCTATGAGTTCCCAACTTGTTTGGTTCCCATTTTACTGCGCAATTTGGATGCAATAAATCAATTACAACACTTTCTTGGGACTCATCTTACATTGTGTTTGGATGCGACAATAAATCATTAACCATTAATCATTATACAAAAGTAAATCCATTATCATAAAAAAACAGCTAATAGGAAGGGTTGGTATGAACATAGGGTACCCATCAATCCATTGTTCTTTCATCATTATCCCCAAAACCCATTCATGGCAACAACAACTGGGGGTATGCCATATGTTCAGTCACAATCATATACCATTTTGCTTCGTTGTATAGCCACATACACTATATCACATTCCCATTTATCCGCATGTTTGGATGGTTAAATGTTCATTACATCACTACATCCCCCATCATCATCATCATCATCATCATCATCATCAACTGAGGTTGGAGATGAGACATTTCACCATGAAACCCACGGACTTGTGACCTGGGCAAACGAATTTTGTGAATTTCTTGGGGGATGGGGCCCATTTAGCCATGAACAATGGTAAAAAAATGGATTCATAGTTGATTTATCTGATTTATATGATTAATTTGGGCAATCTATGGGATCTATGGGGGAATGGAGGAGTTCACTTCTTGTTTTCCTGTTTGGACAGGTGTCGAAATGGATTAACACGGATCAAAAACGGATGGTCCAACACTACATGCAAAGCTTGCCAACTTCGAAAAGGATTCACTTAGGTACAAGTCGGTGTTACAAGTCGCTACCCCATTTTGATAGTGGCAACTTGTCGAAGGATGTCCGTTTGTTTTGATGCAGTTGTTCAATCCTTTTTGGAACAAATGGGGATGAGTAAAAATGGGGTACCCCCAGTTGTAAGTTGGTTGTAAACCCATCAGCCATAGTTACATCTCCCATAAACCCTAGTTAATATTAATCACTACTAACCACTATTAATCACTATTAAACACTATGAATCACTTAACCACAACCAAATTATAAGTCAAGTTAGCTATCTCGGGGGCCTCACCTTGTGCCAATCGACTCACAAATGCATTTTTGTTTTTGGCAGAAAACCACCCAGGTTTCGGATTCTTCCATACATTGTATCATTTCCGAAAGGCTGTCGATAGCAACATCAAAAACGAAGTTCAATGTTAAACATAGATATTCATTTTAAAAAACATTTCAACTCTTTTCATCAAACATATATGATATATAATTTTAAATTTATACAAGGGGGGAAAGCGGCGAACCAAGAAAGGCCCTGACTGCCCAAAGGGGGCATCCCCTTACAACCCCGAAGGGGAAAAGGGCGAGAGGACACTGGAGGGGTGAAGAGCAGCCCGGTTTGTTGCGGGCTGTGGCCGGGGTGGGGTGGGTATTGCCCACACCCCCCCCTCACCCCACTGTGTGTTATTTTTTATATATATATATATGGACTATATGTCATTTTCAAACATTTTCCAACCATCCCACCATTTTTCCCGTGGATTTCCTCCATGTTCCATACCCGCCCCACCTTGGGGCGTTCCGACCGAGGTTCTCCATCCACGGAACGGTGATGCCTGGCTTCGACTCCACGGGGAGTCATCATGAAGATCCCAAGGCCACGTGGGGTTCCGAGGGGTTCAGAGGCCACTACCCACCTGAAAAACAAGGGAACACCGCATTGAGGCGGGTGTGGGTTTTCTACAATTGTGTACTTGGTGATTGCATCAAAAATCACCTTTTTACACTGTAATTTACAGTATTTTATGCTTGTGATCTATGATGTTTTGACGTTTGCTGCAAGATGTCAAAATGCCAAAAAAAACTTTTGCAATTCCGCAACATCTGCTTGATATAAATACATAGATATAAAATACATTTTACACACACACATATATATAAATATGTAAACATACATGTATATAAAAAACATGCGTTTTGATAAATGTATGTTGTAAATGAACCTAGCAATATGTGTAATATATATATATGTATATATATATATGTGTGTATGCACAGGTGCTTAAAGCTTAAAGTCAAACATAAGTGCTAACGAGGCACCTAGAAGATACAGCCACTGGTGCTCGTGTCTTCGGTAGCGTCATCTTACAGTCGAAAGGAACGTTATCATCCCCCCCCAACCCCCCCACCCCCCCTCCCGGTCAAGGTAGCAAGACGTCAGCAACAAAGTTGGGCAACTTGTCTTCGGTAGCATCATCTTACAGTCGAAAGGAACGTGTATCATCCCCCACAACCCCCCCCACCCCCTCCCGGTTCAGTAGCAAGACGTCAGCAAACAAAGTTGGCAACGTGTCTTTTCGGTAGCGTTATTTCTTTACAGTCGAAGGAACGTATATCCCCCACCAACCCCCCCACCCCCCTCCCGGTCAAGGTGGGATTAGCAAGACGTCAGCAACAAAGTTGGGCAACGTGTCTTCGGTAGCGTCATCTTACAGTCGAAAGGAACGTTATCATCCCCCCCCCCCCCCCCACCCCCCCTCCCGGTCAAGGTAGCAAGACGTCAGCAACAAAGTTGGGCAACGTGTCTTCGGTAGCGTCATCTTACAGTCGAAAGGAACGTTATCATCCCCCCCCACCCCCCCTCCCGGTCAAGGTAGCAAGACGTCAGCAACAAAGTTGGGCAACGTGTCTTCGGTAGCGTTATCTTACAGTCGAAAGGAACGTTATCATCCCCCCCCACCCCCCCTCCCAGTCAAGGTAGCAAGACGTCAGCAACAAAGTTGGGCAACGTGTCTTCGGTAGCGTCATCTTACAGTCGGCAAGAGCGTTAAACACGTATACTTCCAAAGAGCACAAACGTGGAAAAAACCACGCCCGTCTCGGGGCGTTGACCCCAAAAACAACAGCTAGTTATGATGATAGATGGTATTAACATGATGGGATTAAGATGGTGATTTCTGGTAATATCACGGTAATATACCACGGATATATATATATATAACTATGATAGTTCTTCATCATCAAATCTCCATGACACCACGGAGTTTTCCGAGACGATGACATGGTTATTCTGGAGATCATCGGATGTGTTCATCGTGCTGTTTTGTTGGTCGAAAAACCTCAGGTCAGGTTCCTGGATATCATCGGAGATCACAGTTTGTTTTGCTCACCAAAGAATCGTGTTTTTTTGAATGGGAGGGAATGGTATGGATTGCTTGGATTTCAACGAAAATGATGGTTGATGAATGTTGATGATCATCCCTCTGCAGATGTTGTTCCAGCCATGTTTGCAAACACACCAGAGGGTAAATGCTTACACGTGGATATCCAAATAATGGGCGTATGGTTGATGATGTTAATGTTAATGTTTATTCATGATCATTCCAATATCTGAGAAAAGGAAACCTAGCACTAAACACTCAACAAATCATGGGACATGGTGATATATTGATACAATGGGGGTTCATTTTTCGATATTTTTCGGATATCATGGTGGACTGCTTGCTTGATGAGTCGTTTTTTGGCGATTTACCAGACAGAACTGGGGGTTTGAAAGCCATCCATATATGATATAATGGGAAAAAATACAATGGCTTATAATACTATAACCAACATATATAAAGCCAGCCATATATAAAGCTATGTATTACAATGGCTTATAAATTACATCATTATTTTATAATACATATGTACTGGGATATACAACCAACAACATGATATACTCTATTATACAACCATATTCCATTGCTTTGCTGCCCAGTAAGTGACACCATGACAGCCGTGGGGATTTTGCTTCAACCTCCGAAGATCCTTATCTCAATATACATGGATGGACTATATGGCGGCTATGGCGGCTATGGCTATTACCCTCTGGTAAACTAACGACTATAGAAAATCACAATTTTATAGCTGGGTAAATCCACTACAGTATTTCGACTGGATCATTTTCAATAGCTATGTTAATTTACCAGAGGGTAACTACTAAGTGTTGGATATTTTTAATGGATATTCCATCAGTAAATGGGATAGTCCATCCATAAATATATCCCATGGCATATATAGGCTATGGCTAAGTGTTGGATATTTTTCTGGATATTCCATCTATAAATGGATGAACTACGGTTAACTAAGCTGATTTTGTATCACTAAAATCGACCCTGGTATGATCCTGGCCAGGAAGGTGTTTCTGCAGTGGTGTCCAAGAAGGTCTACGCGCAGCACCAGCAGAACGAGTTGGGAGCCCCAAGACGACCATGGTGGATCAGTGGTTGGGAGCTAAAAATATGGAGGTTTCCGAAACTCGGAAAATGTGGGTACCCCTAGTTATCCATTTGGGCTGCCACCAAAATGGTCTATGTAAGGGATATGTATTGGAATGGAATATAGCTCAAAACCTGGATATGTATTGGAGGTAGCTCATTTTTGGGATATTCCATAACATAAACCATCGATTTTAGGGTGCCCCCATGACTATGGAAAGCCTATGAAATATACTCACATTCTGTTCGGGTTAGGTTACAAGCGCCATGGTCTGCTAGCATGGTTTGGTTGCGAAGAAAGCATGGTTATTTTTTTCCCCATTCGTAGGGATCTATTGATATACACAATGATGGCAATATAGTTACCCTTAAACTGACAGAAAGATGTGGAAAACCCATGGTTTCCTTAGCAGAATGATCTACAGTCTACAGCGGGTGGGTTCTCCACATCTAATCCTTTACAGGAGGGAAGACTCCCTCACAGCTGCAGGTCCACACATTGGGCGTACCCATAGCCCCTTAGCCCAACAGATGGATTTACCATCTGGTTGTTTTAACATAGCTATGGAATATGGTTCAATTGGTTCGATGATTTATGATGGTTGACCTATTAAAATAGTGATTTTCCATGGCTACGTTAAAAAACAAAGGGTAATCACTAGGTTTTAAGTATCAATTGCTAGCTGGTAGTTCAGAAACTTAAGCGTACCATAATGTTTACCAGTGGTACCAATCGGTTTTAAGGATCTGACAATGGATTACCTCACCATCCAGTGCTGGGCAAATGGTTTGGAGCCATATCACGGTTCTGGTCGAATCAAGAACTCTTGGACACTCTCTGCTGATGACGTTTGGAGTAGAAAAGGCTGACGCTTGGAACACGACACTGGTCCAAATATGGCTAGCTATCAATCCATGACCATATTTTCGGGAGAAACATCTATAAATCCATATAAATCCATATAAATCCATAAAAATCCATATAAATCCATATAAATCCACATAAGTCCATATAAATCCATATAAATCCATATAAATCCATATAAATCCATATAAATCCTTAAAAATCCATAAATCCCATCATTCATGGCCGCTGATTTTTGCATGGTGAAAGTCCGGTCTCTTTTTGCATGGCATCGCAGCGGCCAGGGATCGCACCGAAATGGTGAGCAGGAGAGTCGATGGGATGTTTTTCCAATGGGTTTTCCAATGGGTTTCCCCCAAAATTGGTTTTCCAATGCGTTGCCAATGGGTTTTCCTCCATTTGATGGATTCTTGGAGACCTGTTTTTGGATGTTTTTCAAATGCTTTTCCCAAGTGCGGGAAAAACGCACCAGACTTATTCACAGCGCAGGATGACGGGTGGACGTATGGGCCGAGCTTGCAAAGTGGCATCTTGAAGCAACGTCGTTGGGAATGGGTCATAGGGCACCAGCTCGATGGAACAGTCACATTTTTGCCTGAAACTGTGATGGATTACTTTAAAGCTATCTTTCTGGGTATCTACACATACATGCATTGCATTGCATTGCATTGCATTGCATTACTGTACATTCCATTACATTACATTACACATATGTATATATATATATATACATACATAGATAGAGTAAACATGTCTAAATCCTGATTTTTTTAATGGTCAAAGACAACCTGTCGCAAAGCCAGATTTTGACAAAGCTCAAGATGCTTCGGGTGCGTGCTGAGAATCCTCCATGTTTGTCATGGGTTCCAACTAAGATCACGTCAATCAGTTATCACAATATCGCATGTTTGATGCTTGAATTATTTTATACATAGCCTTTTTCAAGATTTTAGCTGGTATATCTCTCTATCTATCTATCTATCTTATCTTATCTAATCTTATCTCATCTAATCTAATCAAATCTAATCTAATCTCATCTTATCTTATCGTATCTTATCTTATCTTATACTATCTTATCTTATCTTATAATTTATCTATCTATCTATCTATCTTATCATATCTTATCTCATCTTTTCTTATCTATCTATCGATCTATCTATCTATCTATCTATTTATCTATCTAATATGTTCTTTCATCCTATTTTTTTCAGGCTTCAATCCCTTCAATCATGTTACCCTCTGGTACTCAACCATGACTGGCTCAGTTCTCCCAGGCCACCTTTGATCAGGGCTTCCGTTTCTGGGTGCGCGATCCCAGGAATACCAAGGCGGTTCAAACCGGGGGGCTCCAGGGATTGGTTGGTTGCCTCCAAAAAAAAAATCGTTCTGCTGAAAAAGTGCGGAAACATAGCCATGGAAAAACACCAGCAATACAAAGGGCCTGCAGTAACGGCGTATCAGCTTAGCAGCGGGATTTCACGGCGTAACATGGATCATCTTCCCAAAACATGGTCGTGTCATACGTCATAATTTTACATGATAAAACACATCCCTCGAAAAAAGATACCCTCTGGTAAACTAACATAGCTATGGAAAATCACCATTTTTAATGGGTAAATCCACTATAAATGGCCATTTTCAATAGCTATGTTAGTTTACCAGAGGGTACAACATATAGACACTCTCTGGAAAACACGTCCCATTTGCAGATCATTCCCCGGGTCTTTGTTCTGTATTCATCTTCCAGAGGGTCACATCCACACTTTTCCGGAGTTTACGGTACATGATGTGTACCTGACAGTCGCACTGTCTCTGCCATGCGGCACGGCCAGATCCATTTGACTTTCAACTCGGTGTCGGACTTCGACAAGACGGACACGCATCAACTAGGCCGATGGACATCAGGTGGTGTCGCTGGTGAAGGTTGACGGTTGGTCTTCAAAACCCATGGTTTGGTTTACCAAAACCATGTTTGGTAGATGGTTTACCAAATTATTTGATGAAAGTGAATGACCATCAAACTAATTTGGTAAACCATCTACCATACATGGTTTTGGTATGTTTTGGTCTAACTATACATGGTTTACTACAGTTTAGTATTGGTCGATGTATGGTTCAACATGATTTGGTAAAGCCAATACGAAACCATCACCACTACCACCAGAAATGGGTAGCTATTCACCATCAAGACATGCGGGATCAATATTGGGGTTACGCCATTAGTATAGGGCTTCACGTTTCAATCTTTTTTTGGGGGATACCTCAAAAAATCGCCTTTGAATATAGGCTGTGTACATGTATATGAGATAGGTGCGATAAAGGAGATACATCGACTAGATTGATAGATGATATAGATAGACTAGGGCTACCTTAAACCAACCCCAGGGTTAAGGCTAATGTAGGGCTACCTTAGGCCCCGGTTTGTTCGCGAAGTTTGTTTTTTTGACCTAACTCATGGGGCACCATTAGGTGGTTGAAAGCCGCCGCAACGAACCGGAAGTGATTGACACAAAAAAATGTATTTTTTTCCACCGATTCATGGGATATTCTAATCCAAACTTCCGCATTCTCAATAGCTAATCCTAATTCTATGCGTTTTAAGGCAAAAGTGAAGGAAAACCGCAGGATCACCCTGACACTCAATGTTCATTGACAAATAGAGGCATAGACCAACAACCTAAAGATGGCTTTCTATCTGGCATTCTACCTGACAATTTTTCTGACATTCTATCTGGCATTCTATCCGGCATCCATTCTCACATTCTACCTGGCATGTGTTCGGCGGCCATCCGAGCATGAGAACGGCGTTCTTCACAAGAACGGTTTTACTCAAAAGAACGAAGGTGTTCAAAACATTGATGTTCCTCAGAAGAACGACGTTGTTCAGAAGAACGATATTGCTCAGAAGAACAATGTTGGTCAGAAAAACGATATTGCTCAGAAGAGCAATCTTGATCAAAAGAACGATGCCACGCTCTGCCGACCCCCCTAGCTGAACTCCATGGAAACCACACTGCACAACTCATTCCAACAACCCTTTGTCAATTTCATTTGTGACGCAAAACAAACCAGAAGAACGATTCCAGCCAGAAGAAGGATGCTTGGGGCCGTATGGATTTTCTCAGGTGAAATGCTTCAAAACCAAGAATCCCACATTCTCCTAAATTTCCCTACTTCTGTCCGGTGTGAAAATTTCCATTCGGTTGCAAATTATTGCGGAAACCGTTTCTTTCACAGTAGAACGGTTCATAGCAGGAGAACGGTTTTCTTAGCAGGAAAAGGTTTCTTGGCAGGAAAACGATTCAGGGCAGGAAAACGATTCAGGGCAGGAGAGCGATTTAGGGCAGGAGAGCGATTCAGGGCAATAAAACTGTTCAGGGCAGGAGAAGGGCGCAGGGCAGCAGAAGAACAGTTCTTGGCGGGAGAAATTTCAGAACACTTGGGTGGCCGTTTGGGGGTGGGGGAGTTGTAAGTATTTATGGTGGCATTTGGCCGATGGCGAAGGTGTCCACTGCGCTCATGGGCAAAGCTGAGAAGTTCTTGTGCCAGCTCAGTGCTGGGGAGTTGGTTTTTGCAACCTGCATTGTTGCTTCATTTCGTGCGAAATGGCTGTCACATGCAGCCACATTTCTTTGTCAGTGAATTCCTGCAGAAACAAGTCAGAAGAACGATCATGGTCAGAAGTACGAATGTTGCAGTAGAATGCGTACGCCCACTTTAGAGATATCCCGAGTTAAACCCTATCATCCAGTTATCTATGGCTTATAATGGCTTTGAATCAGTTATATATTATGGATTAATAGATAACTGGGATATCCCATGGGATTATCTATGGCTTATAATCATTTATAATCCACTTACACCCAGTTGACCTAGTTGCTGGACGCACATCGTAGGCAAACCAAAAAACCTCAAAAAACTGTTGGTTCCTCAGCGATTCTCCGGGTGCACAGGTGAATTGACCTTGGAAGTCAACTCCTTGCTGAAAGAGAAGGATCTTAGCCTTGACATCAAAAACGAGGAGCTGCGCTATGCTGCACGTTAACGGAGACGGTATGAGACGGTACAAGACGTGTTCGCGATCGATCGCTGAGTTGGTTTATGTCACGCATTTTTTGCTGAGTTGGGTTTGTGGTAGTTATGATATACCCAACTATAGTTACTGGGGTTTACAATTGGAGGGCACCGCAATGAGGGAGATGGGGGATGACTCGAAATTTGACGACACCAACGAGTTACTCTGAGGTCTGGCTTGGTATGTAGCGCCCCTATTCGTAGCCCCCTCGTGGGGAAAAAAATCAGCCGGGTCAGCAGATGGTTTCAACAGTTTGGTGGGTTTCCCAGGAACTTTCATTAATTTTGCTTTCTGGCTGGTGACCTATTTGCTGCTCCCCATTTCGAATACTGAATTCATCTTCTGTTTCGCTACTCTTAAAAAACACATCCACACCGAACAAGTATGGAAAAGTTCCCTAGGTTTTGGTTAGCCAATGCTTTTATCTCCAAAACTTTGGCTAATCCCTTCCCCCGAAATATGACATATAACTATAGTTAAATATCATTAACTATCATTGAATATGATCAAACATCCGGAAATATCGTTAAACTCATCATGAGCATTCAATCATCAAACATCAACTATACCGGATCCAAAGGTCCTTCCTGAGAAGGTCCTGAAAAAACCCAGCTCATGCCCCAGTCGTGCTTCCGAGGAGAAGGTACAGGTACAACTGGATCCATAGGGATTTTGCCTATTTCTATCAATCATGAAAAGTATTATTCCGAACTATCATCAAATATTTAAGTCAATATCATATTAACTATCAGATTATCGTCAACGTTCATGAACTATCCCTTCAACGAATTGGATTTAGGGTTAGCTATCATCAACTATCATTCTTTATCAACTATCATTAAGTTCAAATATTAAGTCTCAATGATATTCACTAGCATTTTTACCATCTTACTATTTGGGTTAACTATCATTCTTTATCAACTATCATGAGATTTACTCTCCAACTCGTTGACTGTCATCAGCTATCATCAACTGTCATGAACTATCATTGCTGATTGGTGGTTTGGAACATTTTTTGTTTTTCCATTCAGTTGGGAATGTCATCATCCCAACTGACTTTCATATTTTTCAGAGGGGTAGGTATACCACCAACCAGATATATATATATAATGGTTGATATACTGGTTAATAGTTATATAATTGTTGACAGTTAATGGTTAATATCATGGTTAGTATCCGGTTACTATCATTGGATTTGGGTTACCCTCTGGTAAACTGTTACAAAAAACTATGGAAAATCACCATGACGAATGGGTAAATCCACGAACTAAATGGCAATTGTTTCAATAGTTATGTAACAGTTTACCAGAGGGTAAATTCCATATAAATCATGAGAAATCCAGATTAGTTTAATAGCTAAATCAACTATTCCTATGGTCATTTTCCATATAAAAACCACCAGAAATCCCAGGGTTTTCGGTGAAATCACCGGGGTGAAATCAGCAGGACCTGGACAACTGGGAAGGTGGTGATCTACCTGCACGATTCTCAGGACCGCACGGAAGGGTTGCTTCCAGGCTAGTGATTCAGTATCTTCATATATATATATACACATACACAGTATATATAACTTTATATACATATGTGTATGTATATATATATATATTGTATATATATATTGTATATATATATATTGTATATATATATATATTGTATATATATATATATATATATTGCATATATATATATATGATCATATATATGATTATATATGACACTGTTTGATGATATATCATATGTACGAATTTTGTAGTAACAATATGTACTTACGAATCCGCGTTGCGTTGCGAATTCCTGGAGGTTTTACATCGAGGAGTCTGGGGCAATTTTTACACCGATCCATCCGAGATGAACTTCGGAACTTCATTTTTTCTATCTATTTTTTGGTGGTATACTTAGATCAATGGCCATTTCAGGATCCAATTGATGGAGGTACCTACCATATATAAGGCCTATTTTTTAGGCCTATGTAAGGGGATATACCCCCCAAATATGGTCATTTTAGGATCCTGAAATTCCCATTGATTAGATGGGAAAATTATCATGATGGGGGCATTATGATGATGGGTATACTTCGATTATGGGAAATGATAATTATACTTATGGGGGTATCATAATACTTTTTGTATACTTAGATGGGACAATTATGATGATGGGGGCATGATGTTTTTTTCTTGTTTCACTCTTCGAAAAATCTTTTTCTATCTACTTTTTCGATCGCTAGTTGATGATCTTTAAAGTTGGCCCCTAGATGGGCTGTGGTTACTTAGACACGCACTTTGGGACGGCCACGGCATCTTTTACCACTGAATAGGGGATATTACCCTCTGGTAAATTAACATAGACCCTGAAAATCACCAATTTTTAACGGAAACTCGTCTTCCAACCCCTATCTGCCAGGGTCTATGTTAATTTACTGGAGGGTATCTATTGCTGTTGGGCTTGGGGTGGGGATGAACCATCGAACCATCCCTTACTTGGGGACCCCAACCTTTGGACCGCGTAGGACATTTGCAGCTGTACCAACTGCACGACTCCGCCATCAAGCAGGCCCGCGATGTGATGATGGTCCGGCTACTTGCGCGGGAGATCCAACGGCTTCTACGTTTCCTTTGAAGTTCAGTTGGTATAATAAGTTGAGTGGCCATTTCTAAGTTTCAGTTGGTATCTCAACTTGATGATTATACCAACTGAACTCATCAATCCCAGCAAAGCTATCCACTCTTGTTTTATTGATCGGTTGAAAAAAACAACATGTCATTTAACCAGTTGTTCCTTTTTTTACAGCAAACATGTTTTTCATTGCCAACCTCTTCCCTTATTTTCATCAACACATTCTGTCATGCCAAACTCAAGTCTTTCCCAAAAAAGACCAGAACCAAAGTACATATCAACAAATATAAACATCTCTAAGTCTATAAAAATCTATAAACATCAATAACCATCTATAAACATCTATAAACATCCGAGATGTTTCCATTCCATCCCCTTTTTTTCACGGGACCGCGCCTCAAAGGCTGCGGCGTTGACGAAGAGTCAAGCCTCCCAGCTGCGGAAGGAGCAGGCGCAGAGGGAGGCGCAGGCGCTGGTGCCTCGGTGGCCCCGTTAACCATGGGAAAACCATAGGAAAACCATGGGAAAACCATAGGAAAACCATGGGAAAACCATAGGAAACCTAGGAATATCACAGGAAAACCCATAGGAAAACCATCGGGAAGCCATAGGAAAATCATAGGAAAGCCATGGGAAAACCATGGGAAACCATAGGAAAATGTACTGCTTCAACATGAAAAAATTGGTGATTTATTGGGATTTTGGTTGCTGATAGATGATAGCTAAGTTGGTGAACATAAGTGTTTTTTTAGATGTTTTTAGCATTGTGATCATGGGGGTTATCCCGCTTTGCCCTCTGGTGGGCTGGCATTTTGCTGTGGAAACTCGCCTAACATCCCGCCATGGAAACCCACCTAATTTTTTTTGAGAATGTTTACACAACTATAAGACAATTTTACTAGGGTTTAGGGATGTTTATTGTAGTTTTAACAAACTAGTTAGATGGGATTATAGACCAACTTATAACTAGGGGGCCCCACATTGTATGGAAAATCATCTATTTTTTAAGGGGTAAATCAACGAACTAAATGGCAATTTTTTCAATAGCTATGTTAGTTTACCAGAAAGTGGTGGATGAGTGGCGAAAAATGTGTGGAACGTGTGGGGTGTGACTGGAGTTTTTTTGGGTGAATTTGGGATGTGACTGGAGGTTTTTGTGTGAACGTTATCTTTGATGTTTTGATGATATTATTGATATTAATTATTATTGAATCTTTCGATATTATAAGAGTCGATTTCAATGACTGTTACTCTACATTTTTCCACTCAAAGAGAGGGTTTTTGTGCATGCTGGCGATGGGTGGTCAAGTCAATAGGCCAATGGAGAGGCAGGTCTATTGACCCAGAGCAGTTGGTTTTTGATTCGCAAAATGTTGGTGAAGTTACTGTATCCATCTGTAGTCGTTAGAAGCTGACAGGTAAATGATGGTAAATGATGGTTAACCAATACAGTTTCTGGCCTCTGCCCCCTTCACAGTTTCACAGTTTTACTGATCCTGGGACTTCACTGGGCTTTCTGTTTGATGTATCTCTGACCCAAAATGATGGGAAAAATATGGGCTCCGGGGGCTTCATCAGGTCGACAACCAAATTCTGGGAGATCACCGGGAGAAAAACCATCTGCATTTCTCCTGGGAGGGATTGATACCTTTTGATAATCTGCAAACATGCCTGACTGCAATGTTCATTTGGGTGTAGATGATTGTAGATGCGATTCCAATCCTGACTTTTGAAATCTGCAAACATTGCTGGTCCATGGCTTCACCATTTTCGCTGGTTAAATCACTATTTCTGTTGGTTAAATCACATGAAATCAGCATTTTTTTCGCGACCCGTTGCTGTTCCGCGACCCATCTCCGGTGCGCTTCGCGGATGAGGTGCAGAAGGCCTCGGCGCTGCGCGCGGAAGCGGAGGCCTTGGAACGGCAGGCAAAGGCGAAGGATAGCCACTGGGCAGAAGATATTTATAGTATTAATAATATTACGGTAAATATAGGATATATACGTATATATATATATATTATATTATAATATATATATAGTATATTATATTATATTATATTATATTATATTATATTATAATATATATTATTAATTATATATTATATTATATATTATAAATTATATATTATATATTATATATTATATATTATATATTATATATGTTATATTATATATATTATATTATTATTATATATATATTATATTATATTATATTATTATATTATATTATATTATATCATATTATATTATATCATATTATATTATATCATATTATATATTATATATTATATATTATATATTATATTATATATATTATATTATATTTTATATATTATATTATATTATATATTATATTATATATATATTATATTATATTATATTATATTATATATTATATTATATTTTATTATATTATATTATATATATATATATTATATTATATATATATATATATTATATTATATATATATTATATTATGTATATATCATATTATATATATTATATTATATTATATTATAATATATTATATTATATTTTATTATATATATATGTATAATATACAGTATGTCTGCCAATGTTTGCTCTGCCGCGCAATTTTTCTCCCGGCTCGCACCTCGTCACAACAGAGCCGTGTACGCGTACGCCATACGGCGTCGCTCCGGCCAGATGCTTTGCAAGGCTTCTTTAGAGGGCTTGCTGCCTGGAGGCATATGCAGTGGCATATCCATAAACTTTCGCAACTCCGTATGGAGGTGTGCCGTATCGGGCGGCTTCGCCGCACCAACAGATTCAAAAGTGCGTTTCCAACTCTTGCCGGCAAAGTAGCTGGGGCACTGCATGAGTTCAAAAAGCCAGGCTAACGGGTCTATCAAACCCTCACAGGAACCTGCCCTCAGTTCCTGGTACTTCCTCTTCAAATGTGTTTTCAATGGGTGGAAACCTGCTATATCTAACGGTTGGATTTTGTCTGTAAATCCGGCTGGTATGTACAGGAGCTGGACACCATTGCGCCGAGCGCACACCATGGTTTCCTTTGCGAGATGTGAGGACGCAACATCCAGCAACAAGATAGGTTGAAATGGATACGGTTTTAAGACTTTGCCTAGATCGCGCACAATCTTGGTGATGTTCTTGCAGGATGTCCAAGCACTTTTCTGACGTACTATGTGCAGCGCCGTTTGTGGCAAGCGCCGCGGGCCCCTCAGCAACTTCTGTGTCAGCTTGGTCTCAGTCCCAAAAAGGTAGTGCGGCAACTTGCCTTGAATATGCGGCGCATCACAAATGATGCTCACATAGGTCAAAGCCCCTCGCACGTCTTGTTTCCGGACAGGCATGCGAAGACTAGCATGTCGTGGCAAAGCAACGCAGCCGGGCAATTGCAGCATGGTGTAGGGAATGCTAGTTTCGTCTAAATTCAAAAACAGCGGAGTCTTGTCCACAAACTTCGTGTTCACGTAGTAGGAGAGTAACTGCCAAAAGGTTCTCACCTGACAGGGCGAAGCCGAGCAGGGAGACCAGATGTGGGAGGAGGTCCGAATTGAAATGAGCTTGCCCGGCCCCATTTTTGGAGCCGGAAAACGGTCGCAAAAACACGACCGTGCTTGGCGCCTTAGCCTGCACCGTGACTGGGTCCCTGTGCACTTGTGGACGTAGGACTCGGCGCCGCAGGTTCCACTTGGCTCGGGAGCGCTGCACCCATTGATTCACATGCCGGCGAGGCGGCAAACCCTCCAGGAGGCTGCCAAACCGCGCTTTCTCCCACGTGGCATAGACATCCAGCGATAGCGGTGCTACACCGACGTGGTTGCAAGCCAGAACCCACTTGAAAGTGTTAGCCTCTGCCAGAAAAGCGGCTGCATGCCGCACTGGCCGTGCCCACGGAGTCGCGGAAGGTGAAAAAATGTGCTGCAAGTCTAAGTCGGTGGTGCTCAAAAACAAATCTTCCACCACAACCCGTGTTGTCCCTGAGGTCGGCTTGACTGCTGGCCACAGGGCAGCGAAGCGAAGCGCTAGCTCCATATTGCAGTCCGACAACACATAGACGGCAACGATCGCTTTGCAAGCAAGAGGGCTAAAACCTCCAGAGGCTGATTCCTTCTTTGCTCGGTATCTGGCATGCTTGGCTTGCACTCCGGCCGCTCTGTTTCTGGCAAGGTCTGCTTGCAAAGTTGCAATGGTTTCTGCTAAAGCCACTGGAGTCGCCGAAGGTGCGTGAGCCATGGGGCAAGGCTGCGGCCACCTGGGTGCTGTCTTGGATGTCTTTGCATGGAAGCCTATACCCTTCTGTTGCTGGGCTGTGACTCTGTGGCATATGAATGCGAAAAATTGTTGCTGTTACAGCCATGTCCTGTGACTCATGTGGCGCTGGATCCACACCGAAGGCCCGACAGAGCTGCTGCATGCAATCTGTGAGTGATGGCTGAGCGGCGGCTGCAACAGATTCTCCATGCTGACCTAAACACAACCTCCTGGACTGCAACTCCTCGAAGGAACCCTTGCAACTCTGAGAAACAGTGCACGTGCACCATGCACCCACATGGCAGAAGCACATTGAGGGTTCAAGCAGCTGTAGACCCAAATCTCCCCCGCAGGCGGTTTCACAAACCTAACCCAAGCCATGCCTTTCTCTACCCCATGCAGGCTGTTACTCCAAATGATAACACGGGCCGGTAAGCTGCACCAAATGCTGATTCTCGCGAATCCATGGTTCGTCATCATCCAGTCAGTTGATTCATCTATGGTGATCACAATGGGGACCCTGAATAAATAAACCTGATATGAGAATATGTTCGTCTGTGACTGGCCTAAGCGATGAAAGTCTGGGTTTGCCTGAAATAAGGCCCGCTGAGATAGCACAAAGGACATAGAATTGCAATTGTCGAACAGGATAAAGCCGTGAGAATTTCTGTCGTAATGTTGTAACTCAGCGGCCGTGGCACCCTGGACAGTTTGAATGAAAGGAGGCTTCTGGATATACGTAGGCAAAACGAAATGGAGGCATTTTGCCAAGGTGCTTTTGCCAGCGCGCGAAGGCGCCCGGAGCACAAGAAATTTGTACCGAGAATCTAAAAGGGAATACTGTTTGGCCCAGTCTTCGACTCGGGCAACCACTTCTGGCAAAAATGGCTTTTGCAATGGCTGGAGCTGAGCCACCACTTCGGCCTGCTCACGTCGGAGGCGACTTTCGCTCTCCTGCTGCATGACTGCTTCCACAGCGCGTTTGCGGGTGATATAGCCCAAGCGCACCTGCAACCTGCTGCAAACGGTGTTGACACTTTTATAGTGATAATTCTGGAGACATTGGCCCTCTTTCTGAAAATGCATCTATAGAATCAGAGACCCCAAGGTATTTTCAAGTTGACAATCTCTTTAGAATCGTTGCCCCCAAGTCACTCTCGTAGAGCCGTTTTTTGGTTGGGGGGGTTAGTTGGCCTTCTATAAAATCAGGCTCCCCAAGTGTCATTCATTGACAGCTGACCTGAATGCTCCAGTTGCTCTTGCCTACCTTACCTTATGCATTTCCAATTTTATAGAGCTCAAAGGCTCCAAGTGTTCACTGTCAACCTCTTCGATTATATACAAGGATGATCAATGATGATGAAAGAATTGTTGTGGGAAATTGGTTCTGCCAATACTTCTCTATAGAATTGAACAACATGACATACACCCAAAGAGAACATATCCAACTATAGAATCGCAGTGGCTAAGGCTCTCTGCTGACTAGGACTCAGTGCTGTATTCAACATGAAATCTCTATAGAATCAGAGGCCCCAAGGTCCTCTATACAATTGAAAGCGTGGACACTGGGTAGGTACCCCTAAACAAAGCAGGGGGTTAAAACGCACCATTTTCCAGGACCCAACGTTCTTGATTCTGTAGAGGAAATTCCAAGGGGGATATTTGAAGGTATCTGAAGATATGTTACGGCCAAATTATGGCTTATGTTCGGACACGTTATCAGACTCGAAGCAGCACTTTTATAAACAACATAGGTGTTTGTGACGTTCCCTATTCTATGAAATGGACCTGCTATGAAATGGTCCCACTGAAATTCACATTGGGTTTATGTTATGTTCCATTTCATACAAATCTTTTCGGAGTTGGTCAATATTCTGGTACCCGAAAACTGCCCGCACGCCACCCTTTCGCGAACCGTTCGCGCCCCAGCAGAATCGGGACAAGAAATTCTGATCATGTTTTCGTGCGCATATGTGTTTATAAATAGTGGTATGCAGACCTCGTTGAATTTTAAGGTTTCTCCATCCCACTTTATTACTTGTATATTATGGTACCCATATTCCAGACCACATAAAATATGATAAAGAAACATTTATAGTAGGGGTTTAATCATTTCATCCGGACATGGGTTCTTCCCTTCCATATAGAGCTTCAATCAAGGGGGATCGATAAACAGCTATTGACAAGTCAACTGCAATGACACCGCCTAAAGTGAGTCTTTGGCATCCGCACCCCTGGGTCCATGTATATATATATATATATAAACAGATATATATATATATCCATAGATAGATATAGATAGATATAGAAAGACATATATTTGTATAGATCTGTCTCGAAGAGATATATATATATATGTGTGTGTGTGCGTGTGTATCTAAATCTCTCGAAAAATGTCTCTATAGTATATCTACATATGCTGATCGCCATGCAGCCATGGAGCGTCCAATAAATGTGGACCCTGATGTATCTCCGGAATGAAAACAATGCTGCTTAACCCAGGCACGCGTACTGCAGGGACTGCTGATGCGAAAGCTTGTGCCCACTCCACAGCGCATCCAGCCATCTGCCCTGCACTGTGTAGTCCTTGAACGCCTCGTAGGAGCTGGTGGCAACGAAATGGGTTCCTACCTGCACAGATCGCCCGGGTGAATTCCACCAGCACTCAAGGCATGTCAGCCGAGGAAATGATCTGGTGGTGGGT